AACTCCCCACAGGGGTAAAAATGGAAAGACAGAAAATAAAAGATAATAATAAAAACAACATCATGACATCTAAATCAAAAGCAGATGCGCTGAATCGTGGCCGTCGATCTGCGGTTTCGCCGGCGATAAACATGTCGGTAGCGTCTGTTGATGTCCTCATCAGTACCCCACACTGTATATTGAGAAAATATACATCTTCGTGAAGAAATACTGTCCATATATCTCCTCACTTCTATCATATCTAGTGATCTTTTTTTTCTTATCCTTTTATTTTTCCACCTCGTCTCTATAAACTTTAAATGCATCTAGTGCTTCAGCCTCTTAAATATAAGATAGAGATGCATATGTATAGTATGATCATGCGTAGGAAAAGGCCCACAAACATTAGTGGATGATTTCCAAACCTCGAAAGTCTTTTTGGTCGCTTTGGCAGTATTGTTAGTTTGCTTACCCTTTATGCATCATTCTAAAAGGTATCAAAATTGGTAAAATCAAGATCTATCAAAATCCTATTATTAATCAGTCTCTTTATTCTCACTAAAGAGATGTGCCTTAATCTTATATTCCATAAACTTGAAAAGATCTCCTATATTCCTCTTAATACGAATATTATCACCATGATGTATAGAAGAAAGGTTGCATTCATATAAAAAACTAAGGCTTCGTTTGGGTCCTTTGGGAAGACTTTCTTACTACTTCTTAAAGTTATTTTTTAGTACAAAAATTAAAATTTTTATACGAAAAAATTGTTTTAAGAAACAATAAATAAGTCATCCCAAACAAAGCTAAATTTAATTTATATAAACCATCCGTCAGGAAGCCAACACCAATAACATATTTTCCTCTAAGAATGTTATCTCAGTGCTTTAAAAATAAAATTAAAACCTACATTTACTATTATAGAAAGAGAAATCAAATTCCTAGAGAAACTTGGAGCATCTAAAGGCGATTACAAAATCAAGAACAAATCCATAACTTAGTACTAATCTAAAGTTCTCTATATCATACACACTTGATTGCATCCGATTTCCTAAATAGATACCTCATTCACCACCCTTTAGGCTTCTTAGACTAAGAAATCTATGCATAGTAGTGGCAGTAAGAATTATAAAACCGCAATCAATCTACAGTGTTATTCGCAACTTCAATGGAGAATTATTCTTTCCGCACAAAAGATATAAGCTACCTTTCTCTTAGAGTCATATTTCTTATATTTTATGCATCTTTCATGTCTCTTTTTTCTTGCAAAAAATCATCTATCTATATTAAGTTTCATCTTTTTTGCAGCTTTCTTTCTTTTAAGAATATCTTTGCCCTTCTATTGTTATTGTGAGTTTCTATAGTAACTATTTTATGTCTTATTTAATGATTGTTTTGTTTGAATCTTTCTTTCTCTCGAACACACGAAATTAGATGTCCTTACCTAATTATTTTTCCTTTTTCGTGTTAGAAGCTTATAATAAATCTTGAAAGGGCTAAATTTTACTGGATAGAGAATTCAAACTAAAATTGACTAGAAAGGTGTTTAAAACGTCAACTTCGAAGAGCCTAAGCTGTAATATTATTATGCACAGCCTTAGAATTACCAAATCTCATTCCATCCAGGCACTTGCCAAATTTTTATCAGAACTCTTAAAAATTTATCTTCATAAAATATTTTACATTAAGGAATGCACTTATGTTGCATTAGGCGCTCAAGACATTATGATCAGTGAGCTTAAGCAATTAAATTGACCCCATTTCTTATTTGTCAATAAATATTGTGGTATAGTAGATTACATATAAACTACATCAACAACAACAACAACAACATCAAGCCTTTGTCCCACTACGTGGGGTTCTCTCGAACACACGAAATTAGATGTCCTTACCTAACTATTTTTCCTTATGCGTGTTAGAAGCTTATAATAAATCTTGAAAGGGCTATATTTTACTGGATAGAGAATTCAAGCCAAAATTGACTAGAAAGATGTTTAAAACGTCCACTTCGAAGAGCCTAAGCTGTAATATTATTATGCACAGCCTTAGAATTACCAAATCTCATTCCATCCAGGCACTTGACAAATTTTTATCAGAACTCTTAAAAATTTATCTTCATAAAATATTTTTCAGCAAGGAATGCACCTATGCTGCATTAGGCGCTCAAGACATTATGATCAGTGAGCTTAAGCAATTAAATTGATCCCATTTCTTATTTGTCAATAAATATTGTGGCATAGTAAATTACATATAAACTACATCAACAACAACAACAACATCAAGCCTTTGTCCCACTACGTGGGGTCGGCTACATGAATCCTTTTTCGACATTGTGTTCTGTTAAAAGTCCAATTCTCATTTAAATTTAATAAAGAAAGATCATTTCTAATATTTTCTAATCAAGTCTTTTTAGATCTACCTCTAACTTTCTTAACATAAGTCAATCAAATCTAATACCTCAACTTTCCTGATCGGGTCATCAGAAGGCCTCTGTTTAATGTGACCAAACCATCTAAGGAGACTCTCTCTAATCTTATCTTCCACTGGAGCAACTCCAACCTTTTCACGTATATGCTCATTTCGTATCTTATCTCTAAGGGTAAAGCCACTCATCCACCTAAGCATCCTCATCTCTGCAACACTTAACTTAGTATTATGCTTCTCTTTTAATGGCCAACATTCAGCACCATAAAGCATTACAGATCTCACCACCATCTTATAGAATTTCCCTTAAGTTTGAGGGGGACTTTGCTATCGCACAACAATTCTGATGCATTCCTCCACTTCAACCAACCAACTTGAATTTTGCTGATAATATTCCCATCTGTTTCACCAAATATATAAACCACATCAGCTAAATATATTTTTTAAATAAAAATAAAAAACAAAAGTGATCCCAAACAAGTCCTTAAGAGTTTTAAAACTCATCATAACCAAATTTTAATGAGAAACTTCTCATCTAATTCATTTTGATTGTTTTATTAGGTCCTCTCCTCTCCTAGAAGCTTCTTTGGTGTAGAAGATTTTGTGGATGATGACAACAGCAGACCATACACTTACCAGAAGCAAAAAAAACCAAAGAACCTTCACAAACATGTTTCATTCAAGCAGCGAACTATTGCTTATATGGAACCATTCACTCTGGATGTCTTCATCTCCAAGCGATTTGTCTCTGCTTCACTCACCCACAGAGTTACCTGCAAGCAGGTTGCAGTTGCTGGGACCAACTCCAAAGACATTAAGGCAGTTCTCAAGTCCAGATCTGACGTTCCTGCTTGCTTAGCCGTTGGGAGGATCTTAGCTGACAGAGCAAGAGAAGCTGATGTGTATACTGCGAGTTACACGCCCAGAGAACGGGACAGGTTTGAGGGGAAGATAAGAGCGGTTGTTCAGTCTCTAATTGATAATGGCATAGACGTTAAAGTTTATTTAGATCGATGATGTAATTGTTCATCAGGCTCTGAAGTTCTTTTTTTTTTTTTAACTGTTTTCAGACTGATCTTGAAGAACTTGGCTTCTTCAGATTGATTTATATGGCTGTTTTTTATTTAATTTTAAATGTCTTATGTTTTGAATATGATGGGAAACATGATGTTAGAATTAAGCTATCTTGGACTCGTTGGATTCATCTCGTCGAGCCGATCGATCTGACTATAAGCATGCTATATTTTGATATAATTTGACCATGCAATTAATGATATGAAACTTCTAGGATTAGACTGATATTTGTGTTGTGCCGGTCTCGCTAAGCCACTCAATTTGGCTATAAGTTTCCTGAATTGGAAATTTGGATGATCCCGAATTTAATTTTGAAAGTTTTTAATTTAAATATACCTCGAGATTCGCGCTCAATCAAAAAAAAAAATATAGACTTTACCAAGTATAGATGTCAATTCATAGAGCATTTAAAATTCATTTTTCTTCATGCTAGTCTTGCTAGATGGGCTTAAATGAACCTATTGTACTATTTCATTCACATTTATTTATTATTTTCTCATTGAATTTTTGCCAAATTGAAATGAATGAACCTTTAAAATGCTATTTATTTATTGAATTGAGTTTAAATTATAATGAGTTTTAATCAAATTTAATTCCTTGTATATTTAATATTAATACTTTAAAGTTTAAACATTTGACATTGTGATTTGAAATATTTGATTTTGTAGATTTAAATTAAAATTGAGAAAATTCATTTGTATTATCTGATAAAATTTTAATATTAATAAGTGAATATTTTAATATTTATATCTAATTATTTATTTGATATTTACATTGCATTTATATCATTAATGATAAACATAAATTTAAAAAGGCAAAATATATAAATAATTCATACAAGAGCATATAATAAATCGTCAATAAATAATCAATACATCATTGAATGAGTATTTTATAAAACTTTTATTAAATTATATGTAAATATATTCATAAATATAAAATATAAATATATTAGTGCTTAAATTTATTTAATTATCTGATAAATTGTATTTATTTTTAATAAATTTATTTAAATGAACAAATGTAGTAGCGCAAAACTCATTTTTCTTACCTTTCACTTGCTTCCATGCTGCTTGTGACCTAGCCCGTTGCTTCTGCAACTGCAAGTACGCCATGCCACTATTATTCGCTCTCCAGATCTTCTTCTTCTTCTTCGTGTTTTTCTCATCTATTCGTCTCCACATAGATCAGAGACATGAAAGCCAAGGTCAAGGGTCGATATGAAGCCCATCGAGGCGCTGCCTCGGCCGCATTATCCATAACGTCTGACGATCTCAAGCTCACCGGTATCCTAACCGACGCCACCTTCTCCAATGCCCCCGCGCTCACCGGACTCGCCCTCTCCATCCAGAAACCTGGCTCCTTCTCCATCGTTTTTGATGTGCCCAAAAAGGTCCATTCTTCCCTTTTATTAAAAGTTCATATCTTTGATATTGGGTTCTTTGGTTGGCAGAAATTTATATGCATGATTCATAGTTATAGTTGTAAAAGATACAAAAGAAAATGAAAGAAGAAGAGAAATGGAAGAACAAAAACACCCACAAACTTTTTCTTCTATTAATTTATCATACTCGCATTACAACTATTTTATTTAAATGAAACATCACTTCACACACATTCTTTCACTTTCAAATGAAACATCACTTCACACACGCCCTCTCACTTACAATTAACTGCATTTAATTAAAGAAAATAATCACATCCACATAAATGAAAAGTCACATCCATACAAATAATACGGTTAAAGATTTTGAATTTATTAACAAATTCCTCATTTAAACTCAAAACCACTTCCATCCTTCATGCCAATCGTCATTTTGCATTTCTCGAACAATATTGTGGGTAATGGCTTTGTGAGTATATCCGCTACTTGATCATGACTTGCAACATGAATCATTCTTATACTTCCTTCCTTCACATGTTCACGGATGAAATGAAATTTGACATCGATATGCTTGCTTCTTTCATGATGTACCGGATTCTTTGCTAACTCAATTGCAGATTTGTTATGTACACGAATCTCGGTAGCCTCTGTTTGTTGGAGATTCAATTAATAGAGCAAATTCCTTAGTCAAACTGTCAAACTGCATGACACACACAATGCTGCCAACACATATTCTGCCTCACATGTCGAAAGTGTCACTAGTGGTTGTTCCTTTGATAGCCATGTGAATGTCGTATCTCCCATAAAAAATACGTACTCCGATGTACTCTTTTGATCGTTTATGTCTCCGCACCAATCACTGTCGGAGTAACCCACAATTTATATCCAACTGTCTTCGAGTAAAATAATCCGAGTAATTATGTTCCTCGGATATATCGAAGAATTCTCTTTAATGTCTTCCAATGCGTGTAGGTCAGCTCTTCCATGAACCGACTTACCACTCCAACACTATAAGAAATATCTAGAAGAGTGCTTGTGAGATAACGCAAACTTCTCACCAAACTTTGATATTTTGTTGCGTCGACTCGATCTCCACCATCAAACCTTGAGTGTTTGGCACCTAATTCCATTGGCGTTTTTATTGGATTATAATTTTTCATCTTGTTCTTCTTTAAGATGTCTTTTGAGTATGCTTTTTGTGACACAAAAATTTCTAATTTTCCTTGTCTAACTTTTAGACCAAGAAAATACTTCATTAAGCCCAAATATGTCATTTCAAATTCTTGTTCCATCTCACCTTTAAATTTTTCAACCATCGTGCCATTATTCCCCATGAAAAGAAGATCATCAACATAAAAAGCTACAAATAACAAGTTACCTCCTTTCTTCTTCACATATAGTGCATGCTCATATGGGCATTAAGTGAACCCATTTTTCTTGAAATAAATGTCGATACGAGTATTCCAAGCTCGAGGTGCTTGTTTTAACCCATGAAGTGTCTTTCTTAACTTCAATACTTTTTGTTCCTCTCCAATCTCCTTGTAACCAGGTGGTTGTTCAAGATAAATTTCTTCTTCTATCACTCCATTAAAAAATGCTGACTTCACATCCATCTGATATATTGACTATTCAAACTGTGTCGCATAGGAGATAAGAAGTCGAATTGTCTCCATTCTTGTAAACGGGGCAAAGACCTCATCATAGTCTATCCCCGCCTTTTGTATGTAGCCCTTTGCCACAAGTCTGGCCTTGTATCGATCTATCTCACCTTGAGCATTCATCTTTTTCTTGAACACCCACTTTACTCCAATAGGTTGACTTCCTTTCGATAATTTTGCAAGTTCCCATGTCTTGTTTCGTTCGACGGACTTGATCTCCTCATCCATAGCTACTTTCCACTTTTCATTCTTCACTGCTTCTTCAAAACTTATATTCTCTCCATCAGCAAGAAGACAAATAAGGTGTGCTTTGCTTGTAGAATCATACAACTCTTGTAGGCTTTGCATTTTTTATTGTCTTGGTTCTTACTCATCATCGTATGTTTGAGGATTTCTAGGTACCTGAGAATATGTAGGAAAATTTGTTAATGAAATACTTGGTAATTCTCCACTTTCCATTTGTTCTTCTGATGAATTGTTCCAATTCCATTTGCTTGCTTCATTCAATCGAACATCTCGACTTACCACCACCTTCTTGTTTATTGGGTGAAGTAGTTTATAACCCTTAGTTTGCTCATCATACCCAATAAACATATACTTCTTGCTTTTATCTTCTAGCTTTGTTCTTTGTTGATCCGGCATGTGTGCATAGGCTACACTACCGAATATTTTAAGATGCAAGACTGTCGGTTTTTTACCACTCCATGCCTCTTGCGGAGTTTTATCTTCTAACTTCATATGTGGGCATCTATTTTGTATGTAAATTGAACATTGCACTGCTTCCGCCCAAAATTCCATAGGCATTTTTTTACTCTTCAACATTGATCGAACCATATCAAGAATGGTCCGATTCTTTCTCTTGGCCACACCATTTTGTTGGGGTGAATGTGGTGTGATTAGGAATCTTCTTACTCCTTGTTGCTCATAGTAACTTGTAAACTTCGCTGAGTTGTATTCACCTCCTCTATCAGTTACAATGCTCTAATAAACTTTCTGGTTGTCTTCTCCACCATGGCTTTGGATTTCTTAAACACATTGAAAGTCTCGGATTTTGCCTTCAAAAAATAAACCCAAGTTTTTCTGGAATAATCGTCGATAAAAGTAATAAAATACATTTTACCATTGAAAGATTCATGAGTGATTGACCCACAAATGTTAGTGTGTACCAATTCAAGAATACTTGATGCTCGAAATTCTTCCTTTTTCTGAAATGAATTTCTTGCATGTTTCCCAAATATACAATCTTCACAAAGCTTGTCGGTGTAATCTACTTCTGGTAGTCCATGCATCATTTTCTTCTTCAATAATTTTTGTAGGCCTTCATAGTGCAAATGACCAAATTACAAACGTCATAGAGATGCCTTGTCTTCTACATCAACTTGCAAGCATTTTTCTCGTACATAAACCAGATTGATCTTGTACATTCTATTCTTCGCCATATTAATTTGTGTAACTAACTGCCCCTTCTTATCTTTCAATTGTAGAACTTGATCTTTCATGAACACTGAATATCCTTTCTCCATAAGTTGCCCCATACTAAATATGTTGCTTTTAAGATCAAGTACGTAATACACATTTTCAATTAGGTCTTTCGCGCCATCTTTTTGCATGTAAGAATTTGTACCTTGACCTTTTACTTGAATCTTTGACTCATCACCAAATGAAACATGCCCATCCTCAACGACCCGCATTTTTTTGAACAAATGTCTATGCCCACACATGTGGTTACTAGCACCAGTGTCGAGATACCAACTCGTCTCGTCACTAATGTTCTTTTCATCATGAGCTATCATGAGAAGCCCATCTTTCACCTCTTCTTCTGTTACAAGATTTGTATTCTCCTCAACCTTCTTTTCACCATAGCAATCTCTTGCATAGGGCCCAAATTTGCCACAATTGTAACATTTTTCAGAGTGCAGTCTTTTGCGTAGTGACCATACTTGCCACATTTATAACATTCAACATTTGAATGATTTTGTCGTCCGCCTCTTCCATGACCTCGTCCTCGACCTCACCAATTTTGTTGATTTGACTGTTCTTCAAATTGTTTTCCATTTCCACGACCTCTTCCACCACGTTCATTTCCACGACCTCTTCTTCCTCGTCCTCTTCCACGAAAATTTTGAGAATATAATACCTTATCATGTTTAATTGTTGTCTTTGATTGAAGAACTTGTTTGAGCGTCTCCTCCTTTCATTGCTCATGTGCCTCAAGAGAGCCAGCAAGCTCTTCAACATTTAGTGTGCCGAGATCCTTTGATTCTTCAATCGCGTATACAACATTCTAAAAAATATTGGTTAATGAGCGCAGTATCTTCTCCACTACTCGGGCATCGGTTAACATCTCACCATTTCGCTTGAGTTGATTTACTACGGCCTGCACACGAGTGATGTAATCAGATACACCTTCTGACTCTTTCATCTTCATCGATTCCAATTTATCTCTCAAAGTTTGGAGGCGTACTTGCTTGACACGATCGACACCTTTGAACACTTTCTCTGAAGTGTTGCATGCTTCTTTTGAAGTTGTTGCTCCGGCAATCTTCTCAAAGCCTAACTCATTTATTGCTTGATATAGCAAGTAAAGAGCCGATTTATCCTTCGCTCGCGTCTCTTTCAACACCTTAATTGCTTAGCCGTCATGCCCACCATATCCGTCATTTCAACGAAGCCGTTCTCAACGACTTCTCATGCATCTTTTGCGCCCAACAATGCCCGCATCTGAATACTCCATTTGTCATAATTTGTCTTTGTGAGTCGTGGTAGTGGTATTTGTCCCATCGAAAAACTTCCAGAATTAGCCATGGTGCTCTGATACCAAATTGTAAAAGAAACAAAAGAAAATGAAAGAAGAAGAGAAATGGAAGAACATAAACACCCACAAACTTTTTCTTATATTAATTTCTCATACTCACATTACAACTATTTTATTTAAATGAAACATCACTTCACACATACTTTTTCACTTTCAAATGAAACATCACTTCACACACACCCTTTCACTTACAATTAACTGCATTTAATTAAAAATAATAATCACATCCACACAAATGAAAAGCCACATCCATACAAATAATACGGTTAAAGATTTTGAAATTATTAACAATAGTGAGAGAATGTTTCTTCTAAGATTATCAAATAATAAGAAATATTCATTTTGATTGCGCTTTCTTTTTTTCCTATATTTATAATGTGAAAAAAAAAATTCTTTATTTAAAAATGGCAAGATATATCTATAAATCTATCCCATTTATATTTATAGATATGTACTATAAATTAAGCTATAGTAAAAGAGAAAACTTTTCCTTTTTCAATACCTAACAAAAAAAAGCTAAATTTTAAAATGAGTTTTTCTATTTTTTTCTTTAAATGATTTTTTAATAGATTGAAAAAAAAATTAAAATTAGAAGCTAAAGTCATAACTTGTAATCAGGCCAAATTTAAAGTAGTTTAATTTTTAGTTGGAAAGAGGAGCTTGAAATTTTAGATGCTATGTTCTTATTTTTTATTATTTAAACTTTTGCTAGCTTAGAAAATACTTTTAGCAGTCTTGTACGGAATTCTCTCTTGAAAGCTATTCAAGTCTTATAAATTAAAATTTAATTTTGAGCTAACTCAAGTTGATTATGAGTCAAGTCAGCCCGACTCGAGCAAATGTAGATTTTGAGTCAAGCAAGAATCAGATTTTTTTAATTCTAGATCATTCTAAAACTTGCTTGAACTCGATTTTATATTACCCTTAATCATGTCTGCACTATTTCAATAATATATCTAATATGATCTGTATGATATGTACCCTGTTGATTAATCCATTCTACTTTTAACATGAAAAATCAAATTGAAAAGAAATTTTCACTCTTGATGCTTTCTTAATTATCCCATGCATTTCATGGAATTGTTTTATTGTCTTTTTATGTAATGTCATGTTATTGGCTAGAAGTTGCTTTTTTACATTTATATTTTAAAAAATATTTTAATAGATGATGATTTATTTTATTTTATTTTGATGATATTTAGATGTCCGTTAAATCAGCAAACATTTATGTCTAGATATTTGATGACTAAAATGAATGATAACACAAAAATATTGATTGCTATTTTACTAAATAATATTACATTGAGGTTGTTTGGTCTAAATGTTATGGAGAAAATAATGTTATATATTTTGATTAATGTTATTCATATATTGTTGTTATCTATCAAATGAAGTATGTTGGTTTAATATTATCTTAAACAATCTAATATCAACTAAAATAAATTAGTAAGGATTATGATCTTTCTTTTTATAATTATTTTTTAGCCATTAAATAATTTTTCATATTGATGTCATCAAGATAGCATTGTAATATCATTTATGAAACTATTATGTAGAAATTATATTGGATCATAAGCTGACATCTTTTGATATTATTACCAAATAGTCTTAATGTAAGGGCTCATTTGGTTGCTTGAAGTTAGAATGTATGCTTTGAAAAATACTGATTTTACTAGATCTTTTCATTTGGTCCGTGTACATAGAAATTGATGTTGATTATGAATTGCACAAAAACTTTCAAAATCTCTCAAATATGATGATTTCATTTTTCTAATTGCAAGGAATCAAATGAGCCCAATGAAAAATTTAAATAAACAATTATATTCAACAGGTAAAATTATTATCGGATTTATATTGTTATCTTGATAACACTTCAATCTACTTAATATTGAACCATACAACCCCATTAGATGATATAATCCTCTTCTCATTGTAGGATATCAACTTCCAATTTATGAATGAGGTGGCCTTGATGGGTCAAGCAGTGAGGTTGACATACACTCGCACTCATGCTCTAGATGGCAATGGCCGGATGGCACTTGTAGGGTCAACAAACATCAATATTGCAAATAAGGTTGGGTTGGGTTATGAGTTTTGTACAGGGGTGATTAAGGTGAGGTATGCCTACACTCATGGAGATTTAGAGAAGAAGATAGTGGTTGAGCCTTGTTTAGATTTGTCAAAAAATGCATGGGAGTTTGCAGTGACGAGATGGTTTGAGGGGAGGGGTTCTCTTATGGCTGTGTACCATGCTGGATCAAAGGATCTTGGGATTGAGTGGCGCAAGAAATCAAAGGTTAATGGATCTTTTAAGGTAAATTATTACTTTTTTTATAAAAAACTAGAGAATGATATATTTTGGAAGATCGCATGCTTTAATTTGCATTCAATTGTTTTCTTTCTTGTGCGTGCTTTTTACTGTATGAAATATTGAGATAGAACAAGATTAACATGCCCTGGATTGGCATAAAATGCTGAGAGAAAACACTACTTTTTTTTAGGAATGACATTCTTTTAATAGCTGTTGCGAGCAAGATGCTATTTGTGGATATATGTGGGTTAAATTACTTAATGGTTGTGATTAAGCTGTATATGAGAGTTATTTTAGAGTCTCCATTAAATAGCTTCCTAATATAAATCTGTTAGACCGGTCCACTGGACCGGACCAGCCGGTCCAGACGGGACCGGCTTAAGGGTGAAACAGCGGAATTTTTTCGCCTAGGAGGAGGCCGCGCGAGCTGCTAGCCTTGCGGGAGCGTTTTAGGAAGGAATTTTGAGGAAGATTAGGAGGGAAATTGAATGTAGGGATTGTTTAGGGAATTCCTTTTGATTTGTATGCATTAAATATTTTGTTTTCCTAGAGTTAGGGCATCTTGAATTTGGCTGAAATTTGAGATCTCTTAAATTTAGGTTCTCTTGGGGCTCTAGCGGCGTCTAGAGATTTGGGAGAGATCGATCCTCCTCTCGAATTGAGGATCAAGTGTATCTTGCTATTTTTCGTGTTCCTTTCATAAAAAAAATACAAATTATCTACTGTTTTTGTGGTTTTATGTGGATTTTGTGAAGGATTCTTGTTGTTTTTTCAAAGACTGATAGGAAATACTTGATCTACAAGTGTTTCCTATCAAAGTCGTGCTTCTTAAATAAAAGTTTTAAGAGTTGAGAAAGTTTTAAATTTTCTCTTTGCTTTTACATGTTTCGAAAGTCAAACAATTTAGTAAAATAGATCACACAACAGAGTTGATTCAAATGAAGCATGAATTTCTTTCAACTTTTTTTTTCATGTTTGATCATTGAAACTACTATCCAATTAGCTCAAAATCACCAAATTTGGTTCAATCGTGGACGTCTTGTCATGGACAATATAAACACCCTAGCTCAGGTTTACTGTGTCATCTTACTCACTAGGGTTAGGTATACTTTATTGAGGTTGGGTTGATTGCGGTGTTGAGGTAGTGTGAAGAGGACTCTCAAATTCAATTTTATCAATAACCCATGGTCCCATTCACCCTTGGTAATAGCAATGGCCCAATCCATCGTTGTTATTGTTAAATGAAAAAAAAGAGAGAATATTATACACCCTTGTTATTGCAAAATGATTGGAATTGTTGATTTTGTTTTTAGGTGATATGCATGTTGCATTCTAGGAGTCTGACATTCTGTTTTGATGATAACAAATATTATTGGGTGTCTATTTAGTTTTACCTGTTATTTATATTGCATATATTTTATATGTATTACTAACATTTTAGGTTCAACATATACTAAGGATCAATAGAGAATCAGAGCTCAAGAACATGTTGCTTAGGTTAGATTTGTTTGAAAGAATTTGTAATTTTATTTTTCTTGAGTTAATGTATGTAAAAACTAAAAAGATGTGTTAGCTTAGCAACCGTGCACACACACAAGAACAATGAAATTAAATATTGTAATTTTTCTGAAGATCATATTGGAAGATTTAGATCATACTATAAATTTGTACAATCAGAAATTAATTAAAATGTTTAAATTAAGTGAAATAAAATTGAAATTAAAATAAATTAATCGTATTGTACATCTCAAATCGTATAGGATGATCAGTTATAAACTAATAATCAGAAGTCCCCCCCCCCCCCCCCCGCCATTTAAAATTAGGCAATATTTTGAATTTTGTTAATTTGCATATTCGTACTGTACGAGCTAAATCGTATTGTACGATGTTTTAAAATCTTGCTTAATTTAGTTCCTGTGATTAATCAATTAAATCTGGGATAATTATAATTTAAGATTATATGGTACGAATTTGATCATATTGAACAATCAATAGAGACGATTTTTTTGTCATCCTGGAGTTCATCCTGTACAATCTACGATTCGATTGAACTAATCGTACTGAATAATCATAAGTTTGTAGTGGATGATCAATAAAAGTTCTTGAATTGATCATACTTACCACCATTCATCGTACAATACTAACTGTGCATAGTTGAACTAATCGTATTGTATAATTTGCCCGAGCTCTTTATAAGGAAGGGTAAATCTCCATTCATCTTCACACCTTACTATTCCTTGCTCTTACTTCTTTCAAATGGCCGGTGGCAAGCGTTACCGAGCTTTAGTAAGAAGTTCTTCTTGTTATCCTTTAGACGACCGGTTCCTATCTGTAGAGGATAAATTGGCTTATCACAGGTATAGGGTAGCTCAAATTACCCCTTCTAGAATCCTAAACCATGAAATTCTCAATTATCAGGTACTTAATTCATTTTGTTGGCACTACTTTACAATTCTTGCTTACCCTAGCCTTCCATTTCAATTCTGAATTGTTATTTTAAATTTTCTTAAGTCTAAAAATTAATGCTGAAAAAACAATAATGCAATCTTAGGTCTGTAGGCGTCCAGTATAAATTAGTAATCAAGACCTTGATGAAATCTTACATCTTTCTATCACAGGTATAGCACTGCTTAGTGTTAGCTCTAGGGGAGACTATGACTGGACCTAAATAAATCTTTCCATTGGAAATGCACCTATCAGTCATCACCTACCTCTAGTGAACACTCCTACCCAGAATGCATGCATCATCCAGCAAGATCAACATATTCTTAGAACTTTTATTTTACCTTAAGGCTGGAGATAGGATAAACATCACCCTTTTGTTGTTTATAGTTACTTTATTATGTCTGACACAAAATTCAATGCAACGGATATGATTATCTGTTATATTGACAATCTGACATCTATTAGAAATATTGGAGTCCGACGTAGGCAAAATCTAGCTCTATGACACATTATTGCTTATGTCTTCGATACAAAATATCAGCTCATGTACCCAACGACCTCTTCCCTTCATACTACACGGATAATTCCTTCCACCTTTTCTTAAGTGACAGACGCCACGAGGCATAGCATGCAAAGGAGGAGCATGATCTCGAGAGGAGCCCTACCAGTCCCAGAGGTACCAAAACCAACACCAGCACCTACATATCAACCATCGTTTAATGATACTATGATAAAGCAATTTGACTGCTTAGAGATGTGCTTGGAAACACACATCCAGGAGTCTATCGCTCACTGGGACCAACTATAGCAATAGCACGAGGCTGATCGTGCTTTGATCAGCGACCAATTTGCCTCGCTTCACCGCTACTTTTAGCCAACACTACCTGATCAAGGTCCTTCCTATGAATAGTGTTGTTCTGTGATGTGTATTCTCTTCCTTGTTATGTGTTTTGCTTTGTACTATTGTTGTGTATTAGTGTCGGTCAATATATCTCCTTTTTGGTGATGTCAAAAGGAGGAGTATGATGTTGTTGGGTGTACCGATTATTTTCATTAGTGCAGTTTGTTTACTTAGTTTTCTTTCTTTTAGTTGTGCTTGAGTTATAGTTTGTCTTTAGTTCATTAAAAAGTAAATAAAAAAGAGAGAACATAGTAAGAGGGAGAGCTTAGGAGGAAATTAAAATTAACTTGCAATTCAACCAAAAATATTTGTCATCATAAAAAAGAGGAAGATTGTTGTATTCCGAGAGTCCAACCTTATGTTTTAAAGATAACAAATATTATTGATTGTCTATTTAGTTTTACATGTTCTTTATATTGCATATATTTTTGTGTGTACTACTAACATTTCAAGTTTGACATATATCATGGATCAACAATGAATAAGAGTTCAAGACCGGGTTGCATATGTTAGATTTATTTAAAAGAGTCTGAAATTTTATTTTCTTGAGTTAATGTGCGTAAAAAGGTGTATGTTATCTTAGCAATCTTGCACACACACATGGAGAGTCAAATTAAATATTTTAATTTTTCTGAAGATATTAGATGCATCACAAATTTCTTTTCAGTATTTGTTATCTATTTTAATTTTTAAATAAATCTTCAATTTTCATGATCTTATTTATGTTTCATTCATTCATAGTCACTGGTTTTTTTTAAACTTTGCTTTATTTCTTTTTATTTTTTAAAATAAATTAGTTACTGAATTAGATTAGACAACAAAGGTTCTTCAAGCTACTTCTTTTATGAGCTATGAACAATATTAAATTTCTTATAAAACTTTGCTCTTCCTGATACAACTTCATGTATGGTTTAGTTGTGTATTGGATTAGTTTGTTTAGAGCTAAGCATTTGGGAGATATTTGAACCCACAAGTGTTTGGATAGAAACTGAATAATCATTAGAAAACTGAGATCTACAAGTGTTTTCTTTCATACTAAAAAAGTAAAAAATTATTTTAAAAAACAATAAAAAAATTGTCCCAAACAAGACCAAAATCTTCATCGTCGGGACAAGCACAACAGCTGAGTTAAGTAGTTCTGGACAAACAAAAGGTTATTGGAACCCAATGTAATGAAGCTGAATACTTAAATCTTAGGGGGATTTACATAAATACAACTTAATTCTTATACATTAATATGTCTAATGCCTAATTTTTTTATACTTATTTACATAATACTCTATATATATTCAAATGTGTTGTGTCTCAGTCTTCTCGCTGATCATTTGACTCTTATTGTTGAAACCCTTCAGGTTTCTGCATCTTTCAACATGGAGAAACAGCATGAATTTCCAAAGCTAACGGTCGAGAGTTCTTGGAATTATTATATATGACGTTGCTGATAAAGATGAAGATTATAGTTTCAGAGCCTGTAGTCTTGTGTTCTTGTTTTGTAGTTGAAATTATTTCAGTCATGTGTTAAACAAAAAAAAAAAAACTTTTATGCTCATATTCAGCAAATATTTTCCTTCATTATAATATAATAATTTAGGCTTCATTTGGAACGACTTTCTTAGTGCTTCTTAAAGCAACTTTCTAATAAAATTTTTTAAATTTTTTTTACTAAAAAATAATTTTAGTAAGCATTAAAAAAAATCATCTCAAACGAAAATCGTAACAATACTTTATATGCTCTAAATTCTCTCTGCAAGTCATTATTATTTTCTTTAATTCAATGTATCATGATTCGGTGACTCTGAATAGAACAATTTCCATACATTTTTTCAGAACAAATGCAGTTGATTCACCCATGCGTTCTTTATTAGTTTCTTTTACTTTTGTGGTATGAAAAAACTGGATAACAATAATGGTTGGGGCATTGGTGTTGACTGTATGCATCATCCGGATTTTGTTGGGGTCATCAAGTAGACCATCTTATTGGCATGGGCATTGATGTTCATTGCGTGCACCGTCTTTGTTGTTGATAGAGGATATCATTATTATTAGTGATGGTGGGTGCCAATCTTATTGACGTCGTCATTAGTTTTGACAATGTGCATCGTCCTCAGCAATGCGTGCAACGTCCTCACTGGCATAGAAATCTCATCTGTTTTTGACGTTTGTAGTTTGTAAATGGCGAGAAATTATTCTGTGCGGAGTCCGGAAGGGAAGAACTGTCCGGATTAATGTGTATTTTGTAAGTATTTAATGCGTAAATATGCAGTAAATATTCACAAAATACGCAGCAAATACTCACAAAAATAGTCATAAATACTTATAAAATACTCACAAGATAATTAGTAATACTTACAAAATACACAATATATCCGGATGGATCACCTGTCAGGACTTCGCACATAATAATTTCTCGTAAATGGTAAACATGAGTTTGTGAGGGGTTAGAATGATTAGAGTTATCAATTTTATTTATTACTATATCAATATTAGACCATGTACTTAATATTTATAGTATGAATTTATAATATTTACTAGTGTAATATATTCGCATTATTGAAGATATTTTTTTATTCTATTTTATTTATTGTTCTTTTTTTGGTTTTTATATAAGAGTGTTTGTATTAGCAATATTATTTGAATTCTAACAATTCTACATATTCCCACAAGGATTCTTTTATATGGAGATAGTAGCACTGATCTTAAACAAATTTTGGCATTGGTCCTCGACAAGTAGTAGTAAGCAAACAGAGGTGAAAGATGTTTATTGTCACAATCAGATCCATATAGACAGGCAGCGGGCTCACACCCTTTGATCTGCATTAAAGAAGTCAAACAATTAAAAAAAGAATAATTTGCATAAAGTCCTTTCAATATATTTTTTAGACCATTACTATATTTTTGTGGTCGAGATTATGATCTTACCCATTGAGTAAAAGTTCAGTTATGAATTGTATAAAGTTTGCAATTCACTTTAACATTTCTTGCATTTTTTGGAAGCTATATGATAGATGGTTACCGACATGATTATCTTTTTTATATGAAAAATATTGGAGAAAGTTGCTTAACCAAAATTGTATTTAAGATTGCAACCAAGGTTGCCCCCAATCCAAATCCACTTTCTATGAAATTGATACATAAATGGATGTTGGTTGAGAGATGATAGAATAACACATATTTGATGTTGCAGTGATGTTGCTCTCAATATTGAATTACTTATTTTGGACATGATAATAGATCAAGATAAAGGGATTACCTCACTTCAATCATACCTATGATGTTGACTTGAATGATTTTTCAAAATTGTAGCAAAGGTTGCCCTTTGCCAATAATCATTTCTCATATACGATATCAAATTGTTACGTCCTAGAATTTTCGCATCAATAGAGATATAAAGAGCTCAACCTTCTAGTTCTAAACGAAGATTCAACACACATATAGATAAAGATATATGTGTACAAAAGTTATAAATGAAACCATAATTTTTATCTAGAAAACTCTACAAAGGAGAAAAATCATATGGCCTTATCTAGTTGAAATGAATAAAATAGTGTTGTTGTTAATTACAAATGATGCTCTTCTTTGGGGGAAGGTGTTGGCTCAATGCAACAAATATACATCATATAGAGCACTTTACATGGTTGGGGCTGGACGAACCTAATGTCTTGAGTGTTGTTTGTGATGCCCCATAATCAAATTTGGAATTATTTTAATTAGATAACAGCCAAATCGATCACAATTTTTATTAATAAAAATAAAATTTAAAATAAAACTATCGATCAATATATATATATCTATATATTCATTTTTTTTAAATCATGTATAATACTTAGGATCTATATAATAATATTATAATTACTATGTATTGAGTACAAAAGAATACCTAAAATATAGAAAGAAATAAATTAACAATACAACTAGAGAATCCTGATATGATCAATCTCATACATCTGATCCCCTGTCTGAATCATTTAAACAATATATAATGAGCTAAAAACCCCAGTAGATCATCCAATCCTACAACTAAATGAAAGCACTGTAAAAAAATAAAATGCATGTCGTTAATTAATTCATAATAGTAGCAATCATATAATTATGAATTGATGTAGAAATAATAAAATACACATGCAATTGTAGTAAAATATGTAGACATTAAACCATTATGGTGCAAGAGCCAGAAAAATAATACGGTGGATAAACCAGTAAATCAATATAGGTGTCGAATCTATAAATAAGTAGTTATTCAGTACTATCAATCAATAAAGAAATCATATAAAGTGGTAATTAAAATCAAAGCATCAGTAAAAACTATAAAAATCATATCAATGCAGTAAAATCCTATAACGATCTATATATATACATAAGATTGTAATTAAGAAACTGACAATTAGAGCTAGTAAAATCGCATCTTTAACAAGCTTCTTCTTATTCAAATATCTTAAGAAAGCATGTAATAACCAAGACACTTTAAAGTGTGATAGGATTTGAAGAAGTTGAACTGATGGTTTATGCGGTCATCAAATCCACTATTTCGCAATCGAAGCAATGGTTGGGAGAAGACTGTTTTCGTAGCCACGGCCATTGCCTTCATATTTCCCCTTGAAATTCATCATATATGATCTCTCTCTTGCGCACTCTCTCTCCCTGCTTTATATCTCATCAATATGATAAGAATTTGCCCTAACTTGATTATAAAGTAATCAAAGAAGATGTGCCACGGTAATTAGTGCTGCTTCTCCATATTAGAGAGAGAAAAATCCGCTTGTTTAATTTATAATGGAGTAGGATTAATGTCAATCATATTGATGAGAAATAAAATAGGGAGAGATTCATTAGTTGAATAATAAGCCTCCTAGTATATATCTATATCTATACTACTATATAAAAGTGGTTTGGGACTTCACCCATATTAAATCTTGATCGTTCATCTATAAATTTTAATTTAATCTACAACGTCCATCCTTGACTCTTCAAATTCTATTATTTATCATATAAGTATTTATTTAACTGATTTTTTCTAAGAGCGTTTCAGTTCTTCTGCCATAATTGAACCCGGGTCAGTTCCGGGTTCGACCCGAACCCGACCCGTGACCCGAAATTGACACCCCTATATATATATATCATGTATCTATTCTCTCTCTCGCTCTCTCATGTGGAAAAGCAGCTCTAATTATCGCGGCACATTGCTTTGTTTACTTTATAATCGAGTTAGGGCAAATTCCGGTGAAATAAACTAGGGAGAGCGCGAGCGAGCGAGAGGGAGGGAGAGAGCGGCGAGAGCGAGAGAGAGATCATATATGGCGGATTTCGAGGGGCGATATGAAGGAAATGGCGCTGGCTACCAGGACTACGGTGTCTCCTCCCCGCCACTGCGAAGCAGTGGCTTTGACGACCGCGTAAACCATCAGGTCAATTTCTTCGAACCCTATCTCACTTTAAAGCGCCCTGATTATAACGTGCTTTCTTAAGATAATTGAATAAGAAGAAACTTGTTAAATTTGAGATTTTAAGGGCTCTATTTGTAAGTTTCTTAACTACAATCTTATGTAGATCTGTAGATCCTCTCTTGTAGTCTGTTGTTTAGGGCTTTTCATATGCTGTGCGTGGGAGTTGAGGAAGGAAAACCAAGTATTTTGGAGGTTGAACAAATAACAAAAGAAAGTATTCCCATCTTTAATGTAGATGGAGGGTGTGGTACACCGCACACATTACATAATAAAAGTGATAAAGGAAGGGATGATGATATTATTTCCAAGGATAATAACATATAATATATGCAAATAATATTTCTATAGAACTGACCAAAAAATCTCGTAAGTGGTAGTTATCAAACTCCATTTATTGCATTCAAGCAATATCTTACATATTTTCGACCTAACATGATATTTTAATATAATTTACTTCATATTTATAAACATTAAAATCAATGTTTTAAAAGCAGGACCGGACTAGCCAGTTCAGTTGAACCGTGAACCGATTTGTTAGTCGATCTGGTTCATTCCCAAAATCAGTTTCGTAATGAATCGGTCAAAACTGGTTTGAGCCGGTTTGATTGGTTAACCGACAAACCTGTGCTAGTTTTTCAAAACTAGCTTGCTTATTTTATATGAAATAATTAATTTTAGGAATAAGTTAGTATATAATTAAATTAATTAATTTAATATAAAGTATTTAACTTAATAAATTAATTTAAATTATTATTTTAAAATACATATTAAATTTTAAAATATTTTCTTATTAAATAAACAATAACTATGCTTTGTCACATGACTTAATCACTCATTGTGACTTCATTACTCACGTGAACCCTAAAAAGTAATATAAATAACACAAAGATATACAACCTAGGTGATGTGGGACTAAAAAACAAAGATGAAGTCCTCATGTTCACTACACATTAGGAGTGTCAAAAAGGGTGTTCGGGTTGGGTTGAACCCGGATTTGACCTTGGTCCAATACATCTGTCCTGAACCGGACCCGGTTTTGCAAACTAGTTGAAAGTTTAGACACGAACCTGACCTGCGAGCGTCGATGCTGAGAGCGTGCGGGACTGTAAGCGAGGGCTGGACTGTGTGTTGATCGCGTGCTAGAGAGTTGAGCACGACTAGCAAGGGCGAGGTCGTGTCGCCAAGAGCTCGCTAGTGCGCCTGCGAGGGTGCGTGCGACGTGCGCGACTAGCAAGGTTGCGTGGGTGCGTGTTGCCTACGCGTGGACGACTCGCGGTGGCGAGGCCGGGGACTGGTCAAATTCGGGTTAGCAAGTTGACCCGGACCTGACCTGATTTTACAAACGGGTCAAAAATGGGAACATGAACCCGACCCATTTGTTAAACGGGTCGACTCGAATTCAAAATTTTCATATAGGGTTCGGGTCAGGTTATCGAGTTGGGTCAATAATTGATACCCATACTGCATTTATACTATATATTTTTGCTCATATTTATTAATTAAAATTTTATAATGTGAATAATATTAAAATTTTTGTTGATAATATTTAAGTTTTTTATCTAATTAATAAATTAATTAATTATTTATTTATATAATATAAAAAGAAATTTTTATTAAATTTTGAATAATAAATGATATAACATGAATTTATAGATGAAATTTTTTGATGTAATTTTTGTACATAATTTATAGGTATAAATTGTATCTAAACTTATAACATAAATTAAAAATTATTCATATTAAATTTATAAACTTATATGTAAAGTAATTTTATAATAAAAAATAATTAAATTTAAAGATAAATATGTTTAATTTCAAATTATAGGATATGTTATTTATGTATGAATGTTATTTGTTTTTAGCCCCAAATGTACATTATTTCATAATTATTATACCGTTGTTATGCTATTTAGATGACATTTAAATGATTTTTATATTTATTACGCCATTTAGTTCCACCTCGGTTGAGCCATCAAACCGCGAACCTCTCATTCTTCCAGTTCATTGTCTGATCTGATTTTCACAACCTTGATTAAAATAAACATTAATTCATAATTTCATGGAGTAAAAATGAGGGTTAAAAACCTGTATGGTTTGATTGAATAATTAATTACAACCTTATTCAATTTAAGAGATTCATGATTCTAAGATATCTGAAACCTTGTTTCGTACATTGGAGCATTAATGGCAAATGGAGTGGAAGCTCATCCGTACCTATTTCCTTGTTAAGAAGTATCCATCTCGCTTTGGGAAGAGAGTGTAAGTATCTTCCTTGTTTGCTCCATTTGTATTGAATATATTCATGACATATTCTTTATATAGAAAGACAATACTTCTTTCCTTATTTATATAATGACATTGAAGTTTAAAATTTTCTCAAATTTAAATGATATTTATGATGATTGTAATAAATTTCTTTCATGATGATGTTGGCAACATAATAATTTTCAAAATAGGAAATTTCTTAAAAATTTTGATGATTGTATTATGTCTATAAATGTCTTACTGTTAAATCGTGTATTTTTTTCTTGTGTGACCTAGGCAATATAGGTTTTAAAGGTAATTTTGACAGTTCATACATGTCGACACAATCTATTTTGAAAAACATGCGACAATTGAGTGATTTTCATTGTAGTTGTACGTTTTGAACAAGAATCATACGACATTTGCTGTTTTCAGTGTTTTTGATCAAATCAAGTCATGAAATTGGTGAGGAGGTCCATAATCATGGTTAGAAGATTGGAATCTAGTAGGGTACAACACAAATTGGAATTGTAAACTTTTATGGAAAATTGAAATGCATGTGATTAGAATCAACGAAAGTGTAGAGCATATATATTGCATAGAATGGAGTCACCTTTACAAAGAAGAAAAGAGGTTGCAATTCCAATGATACATATAAGCCAAATATATTGACAGAGGATCATAATGTTTTTGAGATTACAAGTTTGGGATTTGGGAGGAAACTAAGAATAAGAGGAGAGAAAAAAGGGGAATTTGAATATGAGAGAGGAGGGAGAGAATAAGTTGGGGTGATGATGCAAAATATCATTTACTCAAATCTAACTCATCCATATCTCATGAATTGATTTTATACAAATAAGGAGTTATGATTATTATATGTAAGTTATAATAAAAATAAAAATTACATGTTGGCAAATAGATAAGACATAATATAAAAGTATAAGAATTAAAGGAAATAATAAATAGATTCTAAATTAGTTCTAATTTTTATTTAACTCTGGATGACGATGAGCTTGAAAGTTTGTCTTGGAGATATGTATTGTATCACTATTATTATGTCCCAATATTTTATGGATGGTTTGAGAATTATCACTCTTCATTTGTTCCAACAGAGTGGCGCATGAGGTTTTAAATGCTTAAACTATTTTGCACAACTTCTAAGTTTCCTTTGATATACTCTTGTTTTTTTAATCCTTATAACATTATTTATATTTTCCGTATCTTATTTGTGCCTTTTTTGCCCTTCATTATATATGCACAAAACACCAAGCCAACCTTCCACTATATTTCTATCAGTACAAGCTATTCCCATTATTCCTCTAATATAGTCATTTCTCAATTTATCACTTATAGTTCTTCTATTTATCTACCTTAACATTCTCATTTATGCGATGTTCAACTTGTTTATCAATGATTTATATACTACCCAATAATTAGATTCATATGGAATATAAGACTAAATTGCAAATTTATCTCTTCACTACTCTATTAAGTTTTTCTACTCATAAACAATCAATTTTAGGCTTGCTCCCAACTTCTATGAAAACCTTTTTAATTTACCTAGTTACCTTATCCTACGTCAAATTTGGTTGCATTATAGTTCAAAGAAAAATCCCTTAAAATTCTGTCTTGAAAGATTAACAATTTCTAACCTCTCAAGTTCCTTCATCATGTATTAGGTTAATTTTATTATTTTGTTTATTTTATTAATAGTTTTATTATATTCAATTAAGAAGCATACACACTAACTACATTTATAATATATTTATCAATTACTAACTTATTAGCAATCATAATATAACTATTCCTATTCATCTCAATAATTATTTTTCTGATCTCCACCACGTTTTATTCAAAACCCATTCCTATTGTTAACCATTCCGAGGTATAATAGCTTACATTCTTCCCCTATATCCTTGGGATTTAATTTTTCCTTTTTAGTTTATTGCAAATTTTTTATATGCATATTTCTTCTACTGTCTACTATTTTTTTTGTCTTTCTAGTTTGAAGTCTTTAGATTCCATGAATAAATCATATACTAATTTTAGATCTCATCAAAAATTTTCCGTCTTTCTTTTTTTCACCTTGATTGGTTTTAAGTTATAGTGAGTTACTTGTGTCGACATCCTAGAAAACTCTTGCTTTCTTTTTTTTCAGAATTTTATTAATTTATGGCATGTCACTTTTGAGTCAAATCATTGAAAAGCTTTGCCCATTTTTCCTTGACAATTGGGTTGGGTTATGGAGCATTACTTCTAACAAAATTATATTTGAATTCACTATTTGTTAATAATGCAAAAAAAAAAAAAAAAAAAAAAAAAAAAAATTATATTTGAATTCACTATTTGTTAATAATGCAAAAAAAAAAAAAAATCTAAGCAATATGTTTTATTCAGGAAGTGGAAATGATTAATTTTAACTTCATTAATATGTCTAAAATTTGATTAATTGTTAACGTTGCCTTTCAATTTATATCAAATGATCTTATTTTAAATAATAGTTGGATTCTTGATATTTTTAGATTATCTGACCTCTTCTAAATATCATGGATGCTGCCTATCACTACACTTGCTATTAGATGATGGATTATTTAGCACTTTATGAATCATGGAATTTCTTCATTAGAGTTATGTTTATTATTGCTGTAGAATAGTGAATGCGGCATTTTTTCATAGATTTATTTTGTTGCATTTGTTTCTCACTAGGATATGTTTGCGTTATTGCAGCATGATTCACAAGATCATGAAAGAGGTTCTTCTAAGAGTAGAGACAGGGAAAGGGAGAAGGAGAGGGAGCGACATAGGGACAGGGATCGAGATCGGGGCAGGGATCGGGATAGGGATAGGGAACAAGAGCGTGATCGTCACCTCAGGGATAGAGATAGGGATAGAAGTGAAAGGAGGGAGCATGGCCATGAAAGATCGGATGATCGTGATCGCCATCGTGTTCGAGACAGGGACTATGACAGGTATGTAAGTTTATTTTGTATATGGGCTAATTTATATTATTACATCAGCTATTTCAGGCGTGCAAGTTTGATTATCCTGCTGATCCATGTAGATGTCCTTTACTTTTGGAGAACATGGATTGGATTATTAAAAATTTGATAGTGAAATGTTACACCATTATTCTTACCGCTAGCTCAATTTTCTTGTATGGCAATAGTGTTTTTGATATTGATGTAGAAATAAGGACTCTTATGTGGCTCCAACCAGTGAACTTTTGCAACAAAATGGGGTGATAATTGTGAACCATTGAATGCCACCAACTTTATTGACAATTTTTACCTTGTTTGTGATTTTGAAAATGTTCTGTTATGAATAAGTTTGTGAAAATGCGTTTGACTTAATGAAAGTGTTCATTTGCTTCCTTAGTTGTTTCCTTAAAATTGACCACCCGGCTTGCCTGCATTTTTTATGTTTTATTACCATATGATTGATATGTTGTAGTTAGTTTGAGTATGTGCAGGATTAGTAAAATCTTTTGTAGCTTCAGTTCGTTCTTTCTTGTAGAGATGTTCTAAAATGTTGAGGACTTGACATTTTGAATGGAGATAGATTTATTTAAGGAATTCATTAGCTTGACCAAATTTTCTTGTTCTTCTTATCCTTACTCTTCTTTATTTATGCAATTTATATAACCTCTCTTATTCTTCCATTTTTTTTAATCAGAGTGATCCTAGTTACTTTCTTCTTATTTATACTGGGATGTTTTATTTGTCTTATTATAGGTTATTTGGTTATAGTATTTTGAGCGTACTAATTTAGAAATGTTGAAGTTTGTACTACTTTAGAAATGTTGAATTTTAAAATATTTGATTGTTTGGTTAAGAAACCCAAAAGTAATTTTTTGGGGAATTTAAAACTCCTCCAATACACCATTTTGGCTTATTTCAAAATTGCCCAAATTGGGCAAATTCAGAATACAACTAACTCATGTGATTTTGGGCAAATTCAGAATACAACTAACTCATGTGAAGCCTTGTTTGAGTGCTGATCTCATCCTTGAAGTCTTTGACACCGACGCCAAAGCTTTTCTCCAATGCCATTGATGTGATGACCGTAGGTGTTGTTGCATCTCATTCCCAAGGCTTCTTGCTTTCATACTATGGTCGTCTCTGCTGGTGTCAATGCTTCTCACATTTTTTATGTCGCCAACCCCTTCGAACTCGTCCCCAATTCCATGACTCCTGCTGACTTCATCCACCATTATTGCTTCACCCTACGACCCTTATTTGCTTATTCTCATGTCCTAACAAAAAATAATACGATGGAATTAAAATTTTGATTGGCTTAACAATCATCTGAACATAACAAGGTGATATCCTAAATTTATTTCACAAGTAATCAAACAATCTTAAAGCATTTCAAATGCATTTACTTTGCATTAAAAATATATGTGAAGGCTAAGGGTGTGTTTGGTTTGCTGAAAAGGATTGAATTGTAAAATAAAATACAATATAAAAGGAATGCAATATATTTAAGATATTTGTTGTTGTTTAGATGAGTAAAGTAAGTGCAAGTGATTGCTTTTTTGTTGGACTTGAAATAAAATTAATGCATTGTAAACTCCAACAATAGTAGTGGGTATTGGTCGGTCGGTAGGTAAAGGCGGCCGGTGGCTAGCGATTGGTGGTGGCAGATGGTGAAGGTGGTGGGCAGTTGTGGTACGTGCTTGACAGATTGTGGCGGTGGAGTTAGCTTGCAACAAATAAGGAATTTTGCTAAAAATGGGTGAGTTTAGAATGTATAAAAAATGAACAGCAAAGTGAAATAGGAATTCACAAAAACCTTCACTCTATATTTCTTTTTCATCAAACCAAATTGCAAAATTTTCAAATCTCTTGCATTTGGAATACTTTGCATTCTTTTTAAGCAAACCAAGTTACCCCTAAATACTAGCAACCAAAGAACCCCTTAGCCTTTTCTTTTGTCTTCAAACTAAGTATGTTGGACACTGATCAATCTTGAGGGAGAGGACTGGAATAGCTCAAAATTTTTTTAAGTCAATCAATGCTTATAGTCTATCACTAGGGTCCTCATGATATTAGGAGTGTAGGGTAACAAGCAAATATACAACTAAAAAAATCAGAAAATAAATTATAATTTAATTACAAATAAAAAAATCATAAGACAAGAATTATATCTTAATGAAGTAAATCCAAATATTACTTAAATATTGATCTCTAAATAAAGCATAAAATATTTAATCAATCATGCTTTTGACTTTGAATAAAGATTCAGATCACATGGTCATCATTAACTCTTATGCTCTAGAGAGTTGTAAAGATTACTCACTTAAAAGGTTGGGAAAGATTTGTTGGAACTTGTCATGAGTCTCTCGGAGTTTGTTCTAGGTTGAATTTTTAGAAGGTTGATTAGATTGTTAGTAAGACACTACATAGAGATTTAACCTTATTTTGCGAGGATTTTTTGATTGAGTCTATGTTTTTCATAGACATTTAATTACCCCTCCTATTTATGATAGATAACATTCGATTAATGCTAGTCGATGGGCGTTAAGTGTTTAACATATAATAGCAATAATTTTGATTTAGTATTGAGAAAATGCATCGCCTTCAGCTTAAAACGGATGGTGGCGGTAAGATGAACATGATAAAGATCTCAATATTCCATCATTTTGAGTTGTCATGGACCTTGATGTATTTAATCAGTAGAGGTGGTTAACCAAATTTGATTGAAGGATTTTTGTTGACACTCATGAATTGTTTTGATAAAAGAAATATTGTTGACTTAGGGTGAATGTATAAAGTTAGGAAGAGATAGAGAGGAGAGAAGCAAAGAGAATTAGAGAGAAATAGAAGAGGTGAGAGCTGTCGAGAGAGAGAAAGGGAGAAATATATGAAAAGGAGAGTGAACGAGGGAAAGAGTAAAGAAAGAGAGAGAGTGTGTGAGACAAAGAGTGAGTTAGAGGGGGATAGAGGGAGTTAAAGGAAATGTGAGAGAGAGAGCAAATAACATCAGGAGTGCCAGTGGCACTAGGGTGGAGCTGTCGGTGGATGCGTGAGTAGGAATAGCTGGGGACATGCGAGTGCATGCTTGAGCAAGCGCAACTAGGATAGGGGCATCTCAAGTGAGTGATCACGTTTGTGGGAGAAGGCCGATGCGTGCAGGCTTTGCAACTGGTGAGGAGTTGGTTTGTGAGTGAACTTGTGAGGGAGAATGGGAGTGATCAGAGCATAGTAGTCAATGGCGTAAAATAGCGTGCAATGCGACGCACCCATGGCGCGGCGCAATTTTTTAAAAAAGCATGCGCTATTTGCGCGCAATAGCCCGTGGCGCAAAATTGCGCGCTATTTTATTTAATTTTTAAATATAATTAAAAGGTTTGTTACATTTTATAATATCCTAAACCCTAGCCCTCACGGTTCGTGTGTCACGAATGAAGGAATTGACAAAGGAACGAACGAATTGCGGCCCTCACGCACGCGAAGGAACAAACAAAGTGCTCTGATTTCACCTCCCTCTAATTCCACAGCCTCTCCTTCCTCTACTAGTGCCCAACGCACGCGAAGGAATGGACGATTTACGGCCCTCACATACGCGAAGGATCGAACAGAGTGCTTTGATTCCGCCACCATTTCTTTCCTCTAATTTTGATGCGGCGCCGCCCTATCCTTCCTTTGTTGGTGCCCAACGCATGTGAAGGAACGAATGATTTGCGGTAGACACGTGAGCCCTTCGTCTGCCATTTGATTTTTTTTTTGCAATTTATTTCTATTTTTCCTTGGAATCTTCTACGCTATTATTTTATAACTAAATCATCTTTTCTAGCTAGTAATTGGAGGCATGTATTAGGTCCTCATTGCTATTTAGATCATATATGTGAACTGAAATATTGTTTAATTTTTACAGTGTTATTTCCTTTGAAAATAATTTGTCTATATAGCATTCAGGAATCATGATTCATATTTTATAGCAAGGTGATCTTTAAGTTGAAACATACTCTTTTAGAGCTAGGTTTTATGTGAGTATCCTTCCTTATTTGGTGAAATAATAGTGTTCAGGATTCATGATTCATAGCATTCAAGAATCAGGATTCAAATTTTAAGGTGATCTTTAAGTTGAAAAATTATGCTTTAGATAATTCAATGTCTAAAAAGGCATAACATTGTTTTTTATTTGCTTAAGTATTGTAAATTAATTTGGCATTCATCATTTATATTTTTTAATTAATATCAACTATATTATGAATTTTTTTGCCTATAGGTCATCATAAAATATCAGATTCAATACAATCTTTTAAAAAAAGATCCAACACGGAAATATGAAGTATTGACTAATGAAGCCGATAATAATACTGTGACATGTATTTTTTACAGCAAAATAATAGAAGGAAGAGTTACACACCACAAACAATACCTTGTTGGAGGTTTTAGAAATGCTAGACCTTGCTCTAATTGCCTCGAGCATGTTAAGGTTGTGATTAAGGCATCCATGTTGAAGAAGGATTAGAAATAACATGTTAATGACATCTTAAATGCCAACTTTGATGGACATGACTTTGATGTCATGGCATATGATGATATTCTAGATGCTGGTCCATCCAAAATGTTAAGAACAAGTAAATCCAATGCTTCTAGTCAGAGTTTATCATCAACATCAATCCTCAAATCATCAAGACTATCATCAACATCAATCCTCAAATCATCAAGACCCAAAGGACCATTAGATACTTATCTTATACACCAAATCCTGAAGATGAAGTGAAGCGGAGAAAGGTTAATTTAGCAAAGATGGATGCCGCTAAAAAGGAAATGAGGGAAAGGGCTATTCAAGTTTTCTATAGATGGATGTATGATGTTGGTATTCCATTTAATGCTGTGAGATATGAAAGTTTCCCTACTATGGTCGAGGCACTTGGATAGTTTAGACATGGAATGAAACCTCCTAGTTATCATGAGGTACGAGTGTTTGAAGAAAGAGGTTGGACATACACATGAACTATCACGACGTCAAGAAGATTGTGCACGATATGGTTGTTCTGTAATGGCGGATGGATGAACATCAAGGAATGAGAAAAGTTTAATAAATATTCTTAGGAAAAACCAAGCCTCATGCTAATACATGGAGTCTCCCTGCTTGGGAGTAGTTGTCTACATCCGTGAGAACTCAAAGAGCACAATTCAACAAGCACGCACTCATGAAACTTGAATTTTATTCACTATTTGTTTTAGAATGATTTTTTTTTCTTGCCTCAGGAGTCCTATTTATAGGCTTCAAAGGGCACCAAAAAAAAAAAACTCTTAAAAAACTATAGAATCTACTCAGAACAGTATGTTGCAGTGCATTCATAAAAAAAAAAATATTATTTTTTTAATAAATTACACTAGCAAAATAGGAAAATTTTTAACGTCGATAAAGTTTCTGGTGCATATAATAACCCCACTCCCTCCCCATTAAGTAGCTTATTTACACCTGTGAACAAGCACACGCCCAAGTGAGGGAATTGAAATTGTATTTCACTATTTGATGTTAAATGACTTGTTTACATGTTTATGATTCTTATTTACAGGCATCAAAAGACCTGAAATAAAAAGAAAATACTCAAGATTTGTAGAAATTCACTCAAAACAAACAGGTTTCAACACGTCCAATAAGGATTCAAAACTTTTTCGTAAATTTTTCTAGCAAAAGAGAAACATTTCCTAATGCAATAAGCAACAGAGGATTCGTTGCGTATAAGCAGTGTTGGATTGTAGCAGTGATGGTTGGATGCATAAGGGAGTTACAATGAATTAGTGTGGAAAGTTGCATGAGGCGGCAACTGTGGCATAGAGGATAGGTAGTAGTGGTGCACATCATAGCGGGAAGAAGAAAGTTGAGAGACTGCATGATACAATAGTGAGAAACACATATAAATGTAAAAAATAACATGTGGAAAGTAGCTGGAACAACAATAACATAGTGTAATTGTAATAGTATGTAGTGGAAATAGATTTAGCAATTGACATTATGAGGGATGTTGTACACAAAATAACTAAATGAAAACAAGCAAATTAATACAATTCATATGAATAATTACGTTCGATGTGGGTACACTTATAGATTTCCATAACCTATACATTTATCCCATTTATTAACAATCAAGGTAACTCGCCAAAATTTCATGCAGCCTCTGCTAACCAAGGAATCAAAATGTCCAGATTTAACAAAGAAAGTCCCCAAGTTAATAAAAGTAACATAAGAGAACCAGTCTTCCTTCTAATGTCATTTTAACATTTTAGCCATTTCACTTCTTCTAACTCCTAGATCAGAAACATAGAAAAATGCAAAGCTTTGCAATGATTTTTGTCTTCCTCTACATATTTAAGGATATAAATAATTAATCTTATGCCCCTCATGACAACATTACAATTTATACATTCTTTTTTTATTTGTCCTTGCTCCGGATGTATAATGATTTAACTTTGTTTGATTTCCTCTGTTTTCCTTGTGAGGATGATGAGAATAATAATCAAAATACCTCCTAAGAGATAAATTTTTTCCCTTCTTTCTTCAAAGTAGTAGTCCTGGCAATGAACTTCTTGTTGGAGATCTTTTTATCAACAATTAGTTGAGCTAGAATTTCTAAACTATATTAAAAAAGAAATTACACACAAATGTTATTTGCCCTTTAACCTTGATTATTAGTCACTAAATTTTGGTTTAAAATCTTACTACTTTAGCTTAGAATAAATAGCACCTTTTAAAAATTTCAGAGAAGACCTGTAGTTTAACTTTCAAATTTTTTAGGGAATTGATCCTCCTATTCTGACAGTTCAACTGTTATCCTACAAGGAGATTTTGAAATTAGAAGCTTTGCTTGATCAAGGTGCTGTGAATTGGAAGCTCTTGCTATGGTTCTTACAATAGTTAAAAATTGAATATTTTTTAGTAGGACTATTTGTTTTTTGGTTGTTGGATACCAAAATCAAATTAATTAAATTGTTTCTATGCGAAAATATAATCATGCCTTAGTTTAACTGAGTTTACCAGATCCCACACTCCCTTCTCAGCCATATGCTATCCCTTTTAGTAGTAGATTTGTGATTTTTCCATTTGATGGATTTGCGTAATGTAATGCAACAAAACTGGTTTTCTTGTTAAAAAATGAAGTAGCACATTTTAGTTATCAGAATTTTTAGTTCCTAAGAACTTTTGTATTCTTTGGCAACAATTCTATCCGATGTGTATAAGCTGATATTGCATTCTAGATCATCAGCTATTCCAGTTGCGAGGACATGCATTATGTTATTCTTATTCCTTTCAGCTTTGGTTTCTTATAACATTCATGCCACATAATGAATATCCCTTCCCCCTGCCCGCTCCCCCTCAACACACACACACAAAGGAAGACTTTTATAAATTAGAGATAGAATTCAAGGAATTCCTTGAAAACAAATTATTCAGTTGTGTCATTCAACAATCATAAATTAAATAGAAGTCTTGGATTTTTGAATTAAGGGAGATCAATTGTAGATTCATGGATAAAGTTTGATTCAATGGGATAATTTCTTTCAAAATTTTCCGCCGAGAACTCTTATGTTACATACTTGAAGCAAGTTCTTCAGTACATTTTAAAGATGTTAGTTATTAGAAATACTGCAGCTTCCGGATTGTATAACATATTGGAACTCATAGATGAAATATTTTCTGCTGACATGTATTGTCGTTGTTACTTTTTTCAGTTTGAGGGTTGCCTGAATTTTCTTATGTGCATTTTGATCTCTTTTAACCAAATGATTTTCTTTTGAAAATTAATGGTGAGCTTTGTTGCATATTTTTTGCACGTTGATTTGTATAAAGATGATTGTTATTATTCATCTTGAAAAATTCATTCCAGGCATAGGGACTATGATAGAGACAGAGAGGGTCGCCGTCGACAAAGATCTCGGTCTCGGTCAAAGGGTCGAGTTGATCATAGATCAGGATCTCGTTCTCGCTCAAGATCAAAAAGGTATATGACTTAATTTTTTTTTGTTGATTATAGTTTCTGCACATTATTCATTCTTAATAAAAAGAGTGCTTAAGTGGGTAGCTTCTAAATAAGCTTGTTCATACTATTTGTTTTGTAGCTAGGACTTTATTATATATATAACGAATAGCTTTTTATTACTTTTCTGCTTATGAATTTTTTCCTTCAGGGGCCCAATTTTTTTTTGCATTCTATTTCATAAAATTATGGCTTTTGAGCTGCGTATAAACAAGTGTATTTATATGTGCTTAAATTCAACAGTGAATAGTATAATCTTTATTTGACTTTCGAAAGAAAGCATATCATGGTCTTTGCATCTAAGTGATGGTGGCATCAGTCATGAAGTTGTCTCAATAATTGAAGAAATAATTTGGCACGGACTATGTATCACTACTCTGTAAATTATCGGAATACACAGTTGTATGCTCTCTTTGTACTCCAAACAGATGGAGAAAGATAGTGAGTACACGGCCATGTACTTTGGTTATCAGCATGTAGAGTTATATATGTAGTCTAAACCTAATAATTTTTACAATAATTGTGTTTAAGACTGTATAAATCAATTCTTCCTAGAGTCTTTTTATTCATGTGCATTTTGGGCTTGCCATTTGTGGTGTTTGAATTCCTGGGAATTGGTTATAAAAATCACAAATGAACTTTAGGGAAACTTCCATTCTGATTGATCTAAACCACTGTTCTCAAACTTATCACTGAATTCATATATTTTGAATTTATAGAGTTGTTATGATTTAAAACATGAATGCTGTTTTAATTTCTGAAGCTTTTGTGGAGTTCTTTATAAATTTTCTTTTTTGGTGTTTTTTTTCTTATGCAGTAAGCGTCTTAGCGGCTTTGACATGGCGCCTTCTGGTCCTGTCATGTTACCTGGTGCAGCTATGCCAGGTAAATATGCCATCTGTTTATGCCATGTTTTCCTTTTGTAAATGCATGCTTTAAGTTGGCAGCTGTCTAGGAAATTCGTTTCAAACTCCTTTATCTTGCACTGGTTTATAGTATTTATTAATACCTTAGTTTAGTGTTTCTTTGTACTAAACTTTAGTTCTTAGTAATTTGATTGAATGTTTTTTTTTTTTTTATTGTCCTTTGATTTTAAATTCTGTAACTGAGCAGAAATTTTGTTCTTCTGTTTTTGTGGTTTTTGTTTGTTTTGTATATAAATGTTTTCGTAAGAAGGCAATGTTGGGCTACTTGTCCCACTGTGCTGCCAATGGGCGTGAGCCAGCTACTGTTGCTTTTATGTACAAGGAGGAATCAGTACACCGGTTTGATGGATCTTGATAATATTCAACTGGCAGCTATTTCATTTGGTAGTCTTTATGAGTACATTCTCTAGTACTTAACTAACATTTTATTCTCTAATGAGCTCTTGCTAGAAGATGCAAATTTTTGTTATCACCAATGGGCATGGAAACCTCATGCTGCTTCCATCTTTTTACTGTTTGTGGCTGGGTAATATGATTTATCTGTTGTGGCATTAATTGGTTATATAGGCCAGATACCTGGGGCACCAGCAGCTGTTCCTGGGATGTTCCAGAACATGTTTCCATTAACACCCGGGCAGGTTGTTACTCTCATCAACCAAATCATCCACAATTCAATTATTTTAAATAAAACCATTTGATCTAGTTTTTCCATATGTAATGCATGATTTTGTTCGCGCAGTTTCCTCTTCCAGTAATGCCAGTTCAAGCTATGACACAGCAGGTATGATCTCCATTTCTATAATTCTTCATTATGCTGTCTTTAGCGAGCATAACTTTGAAATTTTTAGGCAACTCGACATGCTCGGCGAGTGTATGTTGGAGGCCTTTCCCCGGCTGCCAATGAGCAGGTTTGCATCCTTTAAAACTGCCCAAATTCTTTTTCACATGTCTTGTATGATATAGCAGTTGGAGCCTGGTCATATTCTTGATATGTGCTGTTGACATTAATGTTGTTAAAATTGCACTATAGTATGCTTTATTGAATTGAAGGTTGTCAATGTACACAGAGCATGCTTCTTTGCCATAATGTGATGGTCAAAACAGAATTATTATTTGAAACAGGCAGTTTACAGCTTTTTTTTTTAGAGACTTACCATTTGTTAAATTTTCATGATTCGCTTGTTTTATAGCATTTCTGGTTGACATGGTTTGATTTATTATTACTTTAATTTTCAGAAACGCATGTGATTTTTAATCTTTTGTTTTTTCATTAATTTTTATGAGCTTATTTGATATAGACTTGTAAGAATCAAATATTTTTTCTCAAAAAGATCATTTATAAATGTAGATTTTTTTTGGTCCTTTTATTTTGAAACTAGCTTTTAATTTAAACCATGTCTGAATGCTTTCCTTACATATTCTCATATAGGTGTGGTGTTTCATTTTTAAGCCGGACACATTTTTTTTTGTTGCAACTTGTGCATCATTATTATGCATACCTTGATTGTTGTATTATCATTCTACTTAATTTTTGTTAGTGCCAACATTCATATTAATACGCTCTCAATTTGGTTTTAGTAAAATAGGTCTTGTAACGCTTCTGCTTCAAATACGCGTTATGTATGAAATTATTAAAATTTTACAGTTCAATTGAGTTATTGCACTTGAAGAAATCAAATCCCGTTTCTCTTAGCTTTGCTTGTAGAACATTGACCCTTTATTCATTTTTATAAAAGATCTTGTGATGCTATTCATGATATTGGACGGCTTAGGGTCTGGGTTTAATGTGTTATTTGATATGTTATGTTTAAATAAAAGCCTAGAGCTTGTTAAAAAGCAATTTAAGGCAATAATTTAAGCCTTCTACTAGAATTTAACTAATATAATAAGAATCAAGAAAGCTGCACACCGTTCATTTTTCACACTGGCATAAAATCACATTATTAGAAATCTGATTAAACACAATCTTATTTTCAAACCGACAGCGAAAAAATATAAAAAGAAGAAAGAAGAGAAGACAAGAAAGAAGGCAACGAATTCATTAGAAAAGCATATAAGAAAAAAATCTATCATAGAATTCATTTATTTTCTCTTAGTTTCTCATTTGAACCGGGATTTAAATCCAGTTTGCATATCCTACAAGAAAATTTATTCAACAATCAGTCAATTATAATTCCAGAATCAACTAAGAAATTACTTCCGCAGACCTAGGCATGATAAATTCATAGTCGGAGCTTAAATATCATAGTAACATCAATAACAAAATGGTTATTGCCTTTTGCTAGTGTTACGAGGAGCTGAAGATCCTCCAAAATCTCGATAATGAAGGATGCCAATAAGCAACGAGTTGAAGACCAATGCCAATTATAATCCTTATAACATTATAACACCATCCATCTGCATCAATTTTGCCCAGCTTTATAAGATTTTACTTTGAAAAATATTCAGCGTTTTGTAAGATTTGGATTGTTATTGGATTTTCTATACAAATATCTATGAATCATCACTTGTGGTTTGCCTTTTCCTTTAAAAGATAGCTTTAGCATCCACCATCCATAGTTGACATGTTTTCATCAACAACAATTTCAGGAATAACATTAGCTTGAATGTTTGGGAAGTGTGCAGATAATGTGAAACTTAAAGGAGAAAGTGGAAAGAGAAGAATCCAAAAGGCATTGGTGTTGACGATTCATGATATAATGCCATCTGGCCCATAGGCCCCATACCTTTTAAATCGATGTATATAAGAATTTTTAACTTTTGTAACTTTTAAACCTTCATCTCAAGGAACTGGATAATCTCACATAACCTTGTTTTTGTAGCAGTTAATATCTCAAGGAATTTTAGAGGATCATTTTTTAATATATACATATCATAATTTTATTGTTTTCTTTGAATTTCACTTACTTTTTGTTAATATTTTCAATGAATTTATAATTTGTATAACTAAAATGTTTCTAACTAATATTTTCATGCAAATCATGCATTTAAATAATGAAATGTGTGCATTTAGGAGCAATGAAAAAATAGTTTTGTGCTTTCTACTGAATATGCTGTAGTTAATTCCAAGGGGAGAAAAAAAATGAAGGAATCATAAAATTAATATTTATTAGATTTTTTCAAGTCTTATTTTGATGACAGGCAAACCATAAATATATGTTTGTATTAATTAAGGAGTAATCATAGGGATGCACAACCTCTTTAAAACAATAATTAAAATAATAAAAATCATAGGGTTGTCTTTTATGAATCTTCATTTTCCATCATTTATAAATCTTCATGAGGTGATAAATATTTGAGATTAGTTGTTGAGTCTAGCTAAGATTGGCTTGAGCTCGGTCTATTGCCTTACCCTTCACTCATAAGCATATTAAGGAAAGTTGTGAAATAAATTAATTGGCTGTTGCAAAATGAACGAGGATTATATTTGCATGTGATAGATCAGTTGTTTTACTCTTGTTGGCCCTGTTTAGTTTGGATGAATTTGCTAATGCTTTAATACGGTTCTATTGGGTGTAATATTTATGAAACAAAATTGGATCATGGTTTCATGTTCTTTTTGATGTCGTGCTTTTGGATATGCCATTTTTCTTTAATGTGATTGTGTTAAAATTCCATGTATTATAATTTTATCCCTAGGAAATTGGGGAAGCAACTATGTGCAGAGAGTTGCATATGCGAGCAGATAGTTTGTCAAACTTGGCCTTCCCTCACTAAGCCCATCCTCACAATTCTGGTTTAGAGATACTAAATCTACAACGTGCTAACTTTTTTTTTAATTTGATTAATTTATTTATTTTTTATACAACATGCTAACTTGTTGTCAGTTTGTATGGCGGGTTGCTAACGTTTTATTTGGGCATGTGTGCCCAAAAAAAAAAAAACTAAATACCAATCGACCAATGGACCAATCGAAGCTCTTGAAATTTTGTATCCAGTGGAGCAAATGTGGAAATGGAGATCTGGGGCCACAGTTGTCTTCCTGCATTTCACATTTCCACTTTATACCTGTTGGAGATCTTGAAGCTTTTCTGGGAGGTTCAATTTCACAACATGTTATCATTAAATTGCATATTTTGAGTTCTGAATCAGTGGGTTTCTGATTAAACGAGGTGCAAATTGTATGTTATGGCTGTTGATTTATGGTGATACTGTCTTTTTTGTACATATTTAGCTTGTGGAAAAAATATCAAGCACCATTGAAGCAGCCAACTTTCTCAGGTTTTGTTTCAGGAGGAGAGTAGAGAAAGTGGAGTGTTGGGCCCACAGTACTTATTCTTTCCACGTTTGTTCTAAACATTTTTTTTTTCAGCAGTAGATCTTGAATTGAATGGCTTTCTTGTTGTTGTTCAGTTCTTGAAATGGCTTATAAGCACTGTTGTTGAATTTGATGGTACGAAAAATCCATGGGGTTCTTGGGAAGTTCAGTGTATTGATTGTTTTGGAACTTTGCGATTCATATGCAACCAACCAGAGTCTATTGTGATCATCTTCCGTTGCTGTACCTATTTTCTAGCATGCTTACCTACCTTAGTATGGTTCTTATGTTGCTGCTTGTTTCCTTTTTAATTACTTGATTACTTTTAGAGGAACATGCTGGTAGTGCTAAGTGCTAGCTGCTCAATTTTACCATTTGTTGCTTTTTTTTTTCATTCTTTTCAGCTTGCGAGGAAAATCCTATGGCATTTGTTTAGCTTCCTTCTCTTTGTTCCTTAATAATATTGAACTTTCAGTATTTTACTGGCGTTTTTATTCTCCGCCTACAAGCTATTTTTTTTGCTTTAGATAATTAGAATAGAATAACACAACACTATCAGGGCTTCATGGTGATGAATGCGTAGAATGATTCATATGCTGTGGTCAGGAGCTTAAATTAAGGCTATTGATAACTCTAGCAATGATCTGCTTGTCAACTGTACCTTTGAAATTTTGTCATTAAAAAAAAATGTCTGTTTACAGTCGGTTGCAACATTTTTTAGCCAAGTTATGGCAGCCATTGGGGGGAACACTGCTGGTCCAGGTGAGAGTTTACTTGTCATATTCCTTGATCAGTTATCTTTTCATTGCAAATGAATGCTCATTTATTTGTACCATTTTGAAGGTGATGCTGTTGTTAACGTATATATAAACCATGAGAAGAAGTTTGCTTTTGTGGAAATGAGGTCTGTAGAAGAAGCAAGCAATGCAATGGCCTTAGATGGCATTATTTTTGAGGTTAGGATTTATCCAGCTGAATCTACTCAAATCATGCGTTTTCTTCACTTTAGCTATTAAGCATTTCCTCGGCCATATATTACTAAGATCCTCATGTGGATCCAGGGGGCACCGGTGAAGGTTAGAAGGCCAAGTGACTACAACCCTTCTCTTGCTGCAGCTCTTGGTCCAAGCCAGCCCAACCCCAACCTTAATCTTGCTGCTGTTGGTCTTATGCCTGGTTCTGCTGGAGGCCTTGAAGGGCCTGATCGTATTTTTGTTGGCGGCCTTCCTTACTATTTTACTGAAGCGCAGGTGCGGGAGTTGCTGGAGTCGTTTGGTCCTCTACGTGGTTTTGATCTTGTCAAGGACAGGGAAACTGGAAACTCAAAAGGCTACGCTTTCTGTGTTTACCAAGATCTCTCTGTTACTGACATTGCATGTGCAGCACTTAATGGCATCAAGATGGGAGATAAAACCCTTACAGTTAGGCGTGCAAACCAAGGTGCAGTACAGCCTAGACCAGAGCAGGAAAGTGTATTGCTGCAGGCACAACAGCAGGTAGCTTTGCAGGTAATTTGAAAATCACTTTGTTATTCTCCATTAATTGAATGAATTTTTTTTAAATAAAAGTCACTTAAAAAGATCTCATGTAGAAAGATTCCATTTTTAAAACCTTTTTATGGCTTGCTGCTAACTAGTTTATAGCCCATGTTCTCCATTTTCTTCTTTTTAGGCTGATGAGTTTTTTGTTAGACCGGTCCAGCCGGTCCAGGCGGGACCGGTTCACGGGCGGAATCGCAAAACAGGCAGAGATTCCGCTAGAACGAGCGGCCCGACCGCTCATATAGAGCGTTTTAGGAAGGATTTTTGGGGGGTTTCAGAGAGAAATTTGAATGTAGGGACTGTTTAGGGAATTCCTTTTGATTGGTATGCATTAAATAGTAGATTTTCCTAGGGTTTGATCATCTTGTATTTGGGATGAAATTTGAGATCTCTTAGATTTAGGTTTTCTTTGGGCTCTAGCGGCGTCTAGAGATTTGGGAGAGAACGATCCTCCTCTCGAATTGAGGATCAATTGTATCTTGCTATTTTATTCATCGACTAGTGGAATACAAGCTTTTCTTTGAGTTTTCTCTCAGATTTCTCTGTGGTTTTGTTGTTTGTCTGCTGTAAACAGCAGATTTCTGCTGTGGACAACAGTTTCCATCGGATCAACTTCAGTTTTGGTGAGGAACACTTGGGAACTCAAGTGTTTCCTATCATTTTTTTATTTTGATTTTTAATTAAATGTAGAAATGTGGTTTGGAGCTAGGGTAGCTTCTCGCTTCTCGTTGTTAACTATGATATATTTTAAGCTATTAAATTTTTGTTGTTTGATAATTTTTTCATCATGTACTAATAATACCTGCAGGATTGCAACTCTGGTCAAAAGCATGGCTCAGCTATTAGATTCTTTCATTAGAAAGAAAAAAGAAAAAAAAACATATCTGAAAACAGGCCAGCCCATTATCATTTGCATGAAGCAATTTCAGACTTTTTTCCCGCTTTTGTAAACTTAGCTGATTCATATCTATTGTGAAGATTAAAATTTAAAAGATGAAATTGAGAACCGAGTCAATTTCCCTTTGTGAGGTGAGGCATAGACCTCAAGGCAGGTGGAGGCATAGAGTCGCAAGCCAAAAAAAAAAAATCATAACATTAAAAATAGTTCATAAATATGACAACTTAGTCATCATAAGCAATAAAATCACATAATAAGAAAAAATCTGTATTAAATGTTAATCTTAAGTGAAAGTGTAAAATAAGATTAAAGGTAAAAAATCACTTAAAATGTAGTTATGTCATGAGGATTATGATCTACAGTGGCCTCTTCCTCACGTTTAGCATATTCAGAAGAATCATCATATATAACAAATTTATCGTCCTCTGGTTCAGCCACACAATAAAAAAATAAAATAAAGAAACAAACTTAGAAAAATAAAAATAAAAATTGAAAACTAAAATGAAAAAATGAAAAGGAGAATCAGTAAAAAAAGCAAGAAAATGAATAAAATTAAAACATACATAAAAAAAAATTAAGGAAAAAAAAACATTAAAGATATTAGTTAAAAAATCAGTGAAAATAAATAAAAAATCAAAAAATAAAAAAAATCAAAAGAAAATTAAAAAATATAAACGATCTTTTTTCGAAATGAAATTAAAAGAAAAAAAAATCATAGGAACAACTGCTCGCTCTCTCTTGACTCACAACCACTTGCTTTATCTTAAACCCCTATGTTGCTGCTCTACTAACTTAAAAAGAAAAAAAAAGTATATTATAACTTTATAAGCTATATTACCTATTAAGTAATTTATAAATATATTATAATATAATAAAACAAAATAATTTTCTTATACTTATTAATTTGAGGCACCTGTCTCAAAAACTTCGAGGGGTAAGCTTTAGTCAAAAAAGGTGTAAGCCTTAAAGAAAAGAGGTGTAAGCCTTGAGGTATTTTTTTGTGCACCTCACTGGCGTATGTCGAGGCCTCGACTGCCTTTAGTAGATAGTATATGCTGATGGAAGTTAGGACTTGCAATGTCTTCGTTAATGACATTCAGGATGATATTTTGAACTTGTGTTAAGTCTAGTATTTTTTTTATTAAGTGTACACGAGAAAATCTCTTTGTCACAAATTTAAATAAATTAGGGGTTGATTGGTGTGGACAGTTTCTTAGAAGTAGAAATGGTGTTGGATTTTTGGTCGTTTTGCTCAAGATCGTTTCATAAATGTTTGGATTATTCCATCCTTGAGTTTCTAGAGATGTAGCATAAGCTTTAGAGAATTAAAGCTAGAGTGAATATAGTCTTTATCTTTCCTTGAGTGAGATCACCAAAAGATATGATAGCGTGAAGTAAGGTTTATTTTCAACAACGATGACATCAACTGATATGTAAAATTTCCTAGGAGGAGGATTATAACTTTTGTAACATTTTTGAATAGTAGAGTATTCAAGAAACACACTTAGTAGTTGTGATGTCTTATTTTCCTCTATTTTGGCTAGGAATATGAGCAAAAGAGGCACACCTGATAATATAGATATAGGATCATTAGAGGTTCTTTAATTTTGGAAGCTTGTGAGAATAATTTGGTTTTCAAGCATTTTGGAGTGAGTATAGCTTTCTCACAATAGGATATATGAATATTGTTTTTGAATAACAATCCCAAGTTTATTTACATGGTATGACTCGGGTTAAAAATTTATTGAAGTAAAATCTGGCATTATCATATCTAATGTCTTAAATTTTTAGCCTAATTGGATTTTGAACCATAGAATAAAATGCAGAATAATGTTTCTAAAATCATATATTTATTTTATCAAGAATAGCCAGCCATATGACTCTTCTATAATCATCGATAAAGGAAATGAACCAATGAGCTACTGAATCATTTGAAATAGTTGGCAATCCCACAACATCACTATGGATTAACTGAAGAGGATGAGAGCTCCTTTTATTACTAATGGAAAAGGAAAACTGATCCTGCTTTGCAATTTCACAAGTGTCAATGAAATCCATGATATTTAATCATTTGAGGAGAGAGAGAAGCATTATATTTAGATTTAAAAGACGGTTAGCCATGGCAAAAGTGGTGAATTCAATGATGTTTTTATTTGAAGAGTTAAGAAAGGATAAGGCATATTCCTCAAGACTCTGTTTGAAGTGCTCGAGTGTTCAAAATAGCAGAGCCAATCCCTTTAGTAAGACCAATTTTAATCTCCAAATCTACGTCCTTAAATGCACAGTAAGGATGGAAAATTACACAACATTTTAGGTTATCAGTAAGCTTTTGAATTGAAATGAGATTTGTTGACAAATTAAGAACTCCTAACTCTTTTTTTCAGGTTAGAAAATAGGTGACATATATTTCCTAGCCTTGCAACCTACCAAGAAGCTGTTTGCAACATTAGCTTTTTACTACGAGGGCTGAAGTATAAGCATTGAAATATGGAGGGTGTGTCGTGGGATATGTGTAAACCCTTTTGTCAATTACCCAAGATTTAATCAAACACTTTTTGAGGTTTGTTTCCTGAGAGGAAATGGAGATTTACTTTAGAGGTATGTCAACCTGCTAACCCAATTTGACTTGAGTCCGGTGTCCAATGCTCTCATCCGCTCCCGCGCAATGGCCTCGCCTTGATTCGAACTCGCGCACTTGCTCCCGCGTAGTGGCCTCGTCCCGATCAGAACTTGCACACCCCCTCCCGCGCAGGCGAGCGCACCCGCAGTCACTCTGTGCACTCGCGTATGACACACTTGCCCTTGCTCGTAGTCGTACTCACGCACTCGCGCGGGGTCTAGCGTACTTACCTCACCTGTAGTTGCGCACATTCTCGCCTCACCCCAGTCACGCTTGTGTGAATCTGGTCGGGTCGGGTTAACCGATAACCCGGCGAGTCGGGTATGGGTTCAGTTTTTGAACCTGTTTTTGTAATCGGATCAAGTCCATGTTAGATCAATCAGGGGCATGTTAGTTTCGGGTTGGACCCGAACCTGACCCGAAAACCTATTTTGACACCCCTATAGCAAAAGACTATCAGTTGGAAGGAAAAAAGAGGTTTGAAGGACTGGGATGTTGAGTTCTGTTGCAATAATTGCGACTGGAATCAGAGAAGGAACAACAATGATGAAGGATTTAGTCCAAGGCTGCTTTTGCATGTATAGTGTATTTGAGGTTGAAAGCTACTGATACGGTTGTCGGTAGAAGCCAATGATGAAATGTTTTGGTGATTTGATACCGTGCAGAGAACACAAGAACATGAATATTTTTTCTTTATTCTTTGAAGTATTTGAAAAAAGACAATCTATAGTTTGATATAAGATGAAAGTAAGGAAATTAGCCTGCAACAAAATAGAAAAGTTCATACAAATGAACTTTGCACTTTGAAAGTTTGAATATATATTGTTAGATTTGAATTTCATAGTATCTTAATATGCTTTCCACTCCCAAACAAGTTCTGGATTTCCCAAAAAAATAAAAAAATAATAAAAAAAAAAGTTCTGGATTTCCCACCTTGGCATGGATCCATAGGATCCTTATTATCTTAAGCTTGAAATGATCATATGGGATCCTGATTTCTTTTTTTGGCATGAATTTATTGTTCCATACTTGAGATGTTTATTATTGTGCAGTCTCTCCGAAACTTAGTCTTTTCATTTCTAGAAATTACTATAGGAAACAGCTTACTAATTTAAATTTCAGTCCGGCCATCTCTCTCTTGGAGCCCCCACCCCAATTTTCTTGCTGTGCAACTTTATTCTTTTATCTTTTCTTTGCATGGACTTTTATGCCAATATACTTGGCTGCATGGAGAAAAATGTAGAAAATGATGTCAGTAGTGGAGTTCCCCTTGTCCAGTTTGATTCAATCTTGTCAACTGTTATAGTGATCTCTTTGAGATATATCAATTATTTTCTTATAGGCAATTGAAATTTGAAATGAGGCTTAAGTTTGAGCTCTAGATATGCCTCCGGGGAGGTTTATTTCAGTTGAATTTTTGTTTAATGTACTCTTGGTAGCAAAATATGTTCTCAATGATGACTGATTATTTGATGTTCAGTCACGGACCGTATTGGAATGTTGTGACATTCTCTTGTAAATGGAGCGGAAGCGTCCAAAATATGAGCAATCGGGGCAACTCCTGATGTTTACAGAACATGTTCTTTTGTGGGCACTGGGCAGTGGTTCTTGTGAATCTGGATTGGAAATGTACTAATGAGCGTGAAATTATTTTCTTCTTTAATTCAAGGAAGATCGAGGGCTTGCTTGGTTTGGTATAAAAGTGTCGTAATACTAAAGTCCAGTTAAAATAAATTTCATTTTTATGTTGGCTGTAAATGTGGTTAGAAGGAAAGTTGCGATGTAATAGAACTTCCTGATTCTGCTTTATGCATTCTTTCTTACAGGAGGATTCAGTTTGTAGCATTTTGGAGCTTAATTTCAGAAAATGGTTTAAAGAAAACTTTTGTTCTTTCTTGCAGAAGTTGGTCTTCCAAGCGGGATCCGTTCCAACTAAGGTGATATGTTTAACACAGGTAGTTACTGAGGATGAGTTGAAGGATGATGAAGAATATGAAGATATAGTGGAAGACATGAGGGGAGAAGGCGGAAAATATGGTTTGAATCCTGGCTTTAATGTCTAATACTTCTATTTTAATATCTATTTTGCTTCAGATTTTTTTGTGATTTTTCAAAAATTTCTTCTCTTCTTTGGCATTTTCTTTGCAAATTCTTCTGCCATTTGACAATCAAGCCTTGCATCCTGAAGATGCTATAATTCTCCTCTTTTTCCTATCACTATCCCAAATAGTCCATTTTCTATGTGCATGTTCTATCTTTATCTCACGAGTAACTTACATTGTTTTCTTAGGTGCTTTGGTGAATGTTGTCATCCCTCGTCCGAGTCCTAATGGTGAGACAAATCCTGGAGTTGGAAAGGTTTGTGCATGCACAAGGAACTTTGCTTCTCTGTAATCTAAGGCCTCGTTTGGGCCGGTTTTCTAACTACTTCGTAAAACAACTTTTCAGTATGAAAATTAAAATTTTGAACTAAAAAGTTGTTTCAAGAAGCAGTAATAAAGCCGCCCCAAATAAAACCTAAATCCAAATGCAAGTGCTTTCAAATGATGATTACTATATTCAAATGCTTTCTTTTAAGATTTAATTTATTGTTCATATTACTTTATTTCTTTGAAATATCTTTCCTGATTCTTATTTTTCAAGGTCCTCTGTTATACTTTGTATTATGTGTTCTCAAGTTGGATTTGGTATTTCTTACATACAAACCTATTCATTTTCTTTTGCCTAGGTGTTTTTGGAATATGTGGATCCAGATGGAGCCATGAAAGCAAGACAGGGACTTCATGGAAGGAAATTTGGTGGAAATCAAGTAGTTGCCATCTTTTATCCAGAAAACAAATTTGCGCTAAGAGAATATGATGGCTAGTGACATTGGCAAGTTTTTTTTGCACTAAGTGATGGTTTTTCCTTAATACTCTTTGAAAGTTATGATGATTAGAGCTTCTAAGCTTGATAAATATGTAAAATTTGAGTTGTTCAGCAAAGCCAATGGGAATTTTATCTAATTGGAGTGAGAATTTACTGTAAGATTTCAACTTGCTTGTTTTGAATAGAATTTGCATAATTGTATCAGTACCTTTTTGTATAAGATTTAAGGTTTAGTTGTTATTGCGTTTTATGCTGGAAATTATCAGGCAAAAGTGGATTCAGATTATCTAATGATATTGATAATTGGAGGGTAAAGTTTATCGATATCAGCCATTCAATTCATGTTTGATTGCTGAAATTGATTCTTCTTAATTTTTTTAAAATTATTATGACTTTAATAAAATTAAATCTTCTGAAGTGAATGACAGTTGGAATTTGAGAATTTCACCCTCTTTATCATGATAAGTGGATGGGATCTATTTTTTTTCTAAGGGTTAAACTGAAAATCTTACTTTAGTTTATTCATTTTTTTTTATTTCTATTTTAGAGATGAGGATGTTTGGGTGGATGAGTGGCTTTACTCTTAGAGACATGATACGAAATGAGAAAATACGTGAAGAAGGTTGGAGTGGATCCATTGGAAGATAAGATTAGAGAGAGTTGTCTTAGATGGATTGGTCACATAAAATGGCGGTCTTTTGATGGCCCGGTTAGGAAAGTAGATGTATTAGATTTATTTTATATTGAGAAGGGGAGAGCTAGATTTAAAAAGGTTTAGTTAGAAAATATTAGAAATAATTTTTTTATTAGATTTAAATAAGAATTTAACTCAATAATGATTATATCTAATTGGCAAAACATTGATTTATTGATTTTGTTAGATATATGTAGATATAAACAAGATATATTTTATTTATGGATCAAAGAATGATTCTATCATTTTGCTTAAACCTAGCTCAGTTGGTTGATTTTTTTTTTTTTTTTTGGACATTTAGGTCAAATGAGACAGACTTATGCATTGGATATACAAAATTTGAATCAAAGACCTCTTAGTTGGTGGCCTAAGCTCTCAACTAACAAATCAAGATGAGCTGTATAGCTCAGCTAATCAATCATGTTATATTAAGGTCGGTTTGACATCAGCAAATGCTTCTCGACCTAAATAGGTATAATTTAGTCCATCACTTAACCATTAATGATAAGAATATTAGAAAATATTTAATTATAATTTTGGTTAAGAATTAGAACTCTGCTATCCCCAAAAAAATATAAATATACTCTAATTTTGCTCATTTGAGTCACATGGAGCTATAAGGTTTTTCAGATATACTTTATTTTTACTCATTTGAGTCACATGCAACTTTTTCAAAGATATTTAAGAAAATTAAAAAAAAAAAACTATTTAAAGAGTATCCGAATCCTAAAAATATTATATAAACAAGTGATTTTCAACTTAATAGTATTTATTCACCTTGTTCTCAAATAGGACTACAACAACAAGTTTTTATTTCACTACGTGAGATTGGCTAAATGAATTCTTTTTTTTCATTGTGTCATATTAAGAGTCAAATTCTCATTTAGATCTAATTTTTCTAATATTCTGTAATGTAAGCCAAATCAAATACAACTATTCTCCTAACCAGGTCATCAAAAAGTTAACGTTTTATATGAACAAATCATTGAAGGTGAGTCTCTCTAATCTTATCTGCCCCTGGAGCTACTCCAACATTTTCACGTATATGCTCATTTTGCATTATGTACACAAGTAAGACTAATTTTAAAAAAAAATTACGCCTATAGACACACAAAATCATATACTTCATGTTTTAAGTACATATAAATATAATCAAAGCGACTATTTAGCCGAATATGAATCAAACATATTCATATTTGTGTTCAGTTCATTAAATAAACGAGCTTGAAAAATTAAGCCAAAAACCAATTAATTAATTATCAAGCCTAATATGACCAACATTACAAACTTTTCAACCTCCTAAATCAAAACCCTACCAAAGAACTCTAAAATAACTGATTAATTAATTAGTTTTTGAGCATCTCGAGACAAATTTGGATTAGGTTAGGTGGCTATTATCAAAACCAATATAAAATAATTTGGTGTTAGAAACGAAGAGGTTTCGCATGCAATTAGGTCAGTTTTGAAGATTGGGGAACATAGTTAAATACTTAACGGGATTTGGACGGCACCTTTTGTTTAATCTCTTGTGATCTCAGCGATTATTAGCAGAGAAAACTAAAGAAAAAAAACTATGGAAGGAGAGTTGGCGATTGCGCATGACTTGTGAAGAAAGATCAGCATGCGCATCTCCACCTTTTTTTTTTTAAATTCTAGCTTTTTTTCTGCGGTGAGAAAAGCAGAGCCATACATCATCTTGAATATCTATCTAATACATACAAAATTCATCTATATATCTTAATCATTTGATTCTGTTACACAGATTACAACATGCAAATAATAGTAGCAATGATGCTCTGATTATTTTATGTTTTGATAGTGAATATTTGATTCCTCTTCAGGCTTTAGATGAATGCCGAAGTTTTGGTTTTATATTGTTTAATTAGTTAGCATTTCAATGGGTAATTGTTTTATTTGATATGTTATGTTTGTGTGGTGGTGATTTTATTTCTCTTTGGTTGATTATTGCTCTTTTGGTGCTCTCAAAGATAGTGTTTTGATATCTTTTAAATGTTAGTTTTGTGTGGAATTCATTTTTGCTGATCAACTAGGTTATGCTATTGACTCATACTTCAATTTTGTTAGTCGAGCTTGTCGGCGGGTTGCAGGGAGCCTTGTCCCAAAAAAAAAAAAATTTTTTTTTTTCTTACAATCATACAGTGTTGCGGTGCTGTGTACTTAAGCGCTGCGACACTTAAGTATTTGATTGGAGATAAGGAGCAAAGGATTGCGGCGCTGCAGCGTGACTCAGAGACAGAGTGTGGAGTGCCGCGACTCTCCAAAGCTTGGCGTCCAGGAGATATGAGTCGGGATGGACAATTTTCTCTCTTGTTTTTCATGTTTAAGTTGAAGGGTTGTGTCCCTTCATGTTGTAAAAGTACGTTTCGTTGTCTATTTTGTGTTAGAACAGTGTAAAAAAGTGAAGTGAGACAAGCAGAGAGTGAATTTCTTGGTGTAGTATGGCTCCGTGGTTTTTTCCCTATTTTGATTATTTTCGTGTTAAATCTCGGTGTTCATTTCCGTTTTTCTATTTTCTTGTTTGTTTCGTTGCGTGATTTACTTCCCAACATTAAATTGATCCTGCATTGAAGTAAAATACAAATTCGAGAAGTTTAATTGAGAACAATATTTTCAACATACGAAAAATGAAGAAGAAACATCTTTGTCTTAGGAGGAATATGTGAAGAATTTGAAGTGAAAGGATTCTCAGAAAAGCATAAATAAAGAGAAACAGAGACTGCTAAAAAAAACTCTTACTAATAATCTCTATTAGAAACAAAAATAAGTCACTCACCGCATGATCATTTGGTTTCTTAAAATAAGGCTCTTTTTAATCTTGAAAGTCATTATATGAAGAGTTATAATTCGGAACATAAAAATTTTCATCTTGATAGGCACTCCATCATAGGCTTATGAGCTTATAGTGGATACTTTATTAAATAAGAAAGATATTATTTCATCATAGATGTTAAGTCAATTATTCTATCTAATGAGTTTTGGCCTTGATACGGCATCACAAAATTATCTTGATCGGGCACGAATCTCGAGGCAAAAGTTAGTTGGAAACTTCAAAAATTAATTTTGGGCGCACCCGAACTCTGATTTCAGCGAGCTTACAGTCAAACTGAGCGTCTTGGAAATACGAACCCAACGACACCAAGATCAACCCAATCCGAGCCCAAATGAGTCCAAATCAAGGGCTCAAAGCATTGTTGGAAGGTTCAAACTGCAATTTGAGTTACCAAATTTATTTGATATGTTATGTTTGTGTGGTGGTGATTTTATTTCTCTTTGGTTGATTATTTCTCTTTTGGTGCTCTCAAAGATAGTGTTTTGATACGCTTTAAATGCTAGTTTTGTGTGGAATTTATTTTTGCCCCAACCGGATTATACGATTGACTTATATTTCAATTATGTCGGTCAAGCTTGCCAGAGGTTGCAGGAAGCCTTGCCCCCCCAAATTTTTTTTTTTTTCATACAATCATACATTGTTGCGGTGTTGTGTAATTGAGCATTGTGGCCCTTCAATATCTGATTGGAGATAAGGAGCAAATGATTGCGACGCTGCAGGGTGACTCAGAGGCAGAGAGTGGAGCGTTTAGACTCTCCAAACCTTGGCGTCCCGGCACTGTGAGTCGGGATGGACAATTTTCGTTCTCGTTTTTCATGTTTAACTTGAAGAGTTGCGTCTCTTTCTCTATTCTATGTTAGAACAGTGTAAAAAAGTAAAGTGAGACAAGGAGAGAGTGAATTTCTTGGTGTAATGTGGCTCCATGATTTTTTTTTTTCTGATTTTGATTATTTCCATGTTAAATCTCGGTGTTCATTTCCATTTTTCTCTTTTCTTCTTTGTTTCATTACGTGATTTACTTCCCAACATTAAATTGATCCTTCATTGAAGTAAAAGACAAATTCGAGAAGTTTTAATTGAGAACAATAATTTCAACATATGAAAAATGAAGATGAAACATCTGTCTTAGGAGGAATATGTGAAGAATTTGAAGGCAAATGATTCTCAGACAAGCATAAATAAGGAGAAACACTGGTAAAAAAAAAAAAAAAAAAACTCCCACTTTCCATCTCTATTAGAAACAAAAATAAGGTGCATCACCCGCAGGATCATCTGGTTACTTAAAATAAGGTTCTTTTAAATCTTGAAAGTCATTATATGAAGAGTTATAATTCGGAAGATCAAAATTTTCATTTTGCTAGGCACTCTATCATAGGCTTATAGCCTTATGAGCTTATTTTTTATGAGGGCCTTCAACAAATGTCGATAAATTTTACTCGTCTCTCTTCTTCATCTCAAAGAAAGGATATCTCTCTTGACAGTGGGAGAGCCAAAAAATTTTGTCGGGGGCACAAATAAATTTTTTTAAATATTTTCTCAAGTTTTTTTATTTGTGCCCTTACAAGTCCCCCCTTAAATCTGGGCACATAGGCCCCCCTTAACTCAGCCCATATTTGCCACCAATACAATTCTCTTTCTAACTCAGATAAAGATTCCAACAAATAGAGACAAATATGAGCAAAAGAATATTTTAGTTCAATCTGATTTAGTTTGCTACTTGAATTGCTGAGCAAAAAGCTGATAGCCTTGTCATGCATAATCATTATGATTGAATTGAAGCTCTTTTAATGAAATGGAGCTTCAACAGCAAGGCAAGCAATCAATATTTCATTATAAAGAAACCAAACTCATCACGACATTCTAAATTAATATAATAAAAAGTCATGCACGACTTCCATTACTTTTCCTCAGAAACTTACCCCACTCAATTATCATGCTGACATTACCTGTAACTGAAGACCTCGTCGTCCGGATTTCAATCACATGAAGATATCTTGATTTTCTCTCTTTTGTATACAGGATATGTACAAGAGAGAGAGAAAATACAGATATCTTCACGCGATTGAAATCCGGACGAAAAATTACATACATACTCCGCATGTAATAATCTCTCCTCAACTATAAAGAGCCTTGTACCCTTAGTGGGAAGAAGTATTGATAATATTCAACAAAAAAAAGTTTGGTTTAAGATAGTAAAATTTAAGTTTGATCATAATAGATTTTATAATTATTTTGAGATGAGCATAATTAGGAGTAATCAATCAAAACATATATTGCAGAAGTTTCAGGAAAAAAAATCATTATTTCATGTGAACTTCACATCATTAATTTTTGTGAATGGTCAGTGTCATACCTTTGTGAAGATGTTGATTTCTTAACATAATTTTTTCCTGAAAACCTTATCCACTCAATGAATGCAAAGTTTTTTTACAGCAATGTAAATTTGAACTGGTAAGATAATATACTAAAGTTAAAAAGAAAAAAAAAATCAAAGAAAAGTGAAGTTTGAAGCTTCCTTCTTAGTAACATAAAGGGAAAAGTAAAACCTACAGGCTAGCAGTTGGAAGCTTACAAACGTTTCTTTGATTTCTAGAAGGTTCAACTCTTTTGAGTTTCCCACTTATAAATGCACCATTTGCTGAGTTCTCCATAGTTTTCTAAGAAAATAAGGTGATGGAATATTCTTATCTTATGAGCTCTGGCTTTACTGATAACACTCCTCAAGGTTTGTTAAGTCCTGATCAAAAGTGTCAAGCTATTATCTTTGCAATATCTAATTTTTTTCGCCTGTTTTGTATAATGAGAATTGAAATAGGCGGGAAGAGACTAAGGAGATGGCAAAAGAAGGCAGTTGTGGCGGCGGCGGCCGAGGCAAAGAAGAGGAAGTTAAGTGATGAGCAAGTTAAGTTATTGGAGTTCAGTTTTATGAGGGAAAGGAAGCTGGAGTGTAGGAGAAAGGAGTCACTGGCAGTTGAGCTTGGGCTTGATCCGAAACAGGTTGCAGTGTGGTTTCAAAACCGGCGAGCAAGGTGGAAAAGCAGGAAAATGGAAGAGGAGTATCTGAGGCTCAAGTCTGAGAATGAGGAGGCTGTTGTTGAAAAATGCCAGCTTGAGAAAGAGGTTCTCTTCTAAGAAATTTTACTATTGTTGAGATGCATTGGAAAAATAATAATATGTATGGAAAATAAAATAAAATTTAAGTTTTAAATACAGTGATAGTGAGCTTCATTGTTGGAAAATAGCACTACAGGAAAATGTTTCCACCGGTAACAATGGAAATCTGCTGTAAATTTCAATTTTCAGGTGAATTTCCGGCGAAAATCCATTCGACGGTAAATCTCGTGTTGGAAAATCTAAACCGGCAAATTTTTTTCACCGAAAATGTTTCCGACAGATTTTCCAGTAAAAAAAATGAAGTTTGTACGTCGGATTTTCCAGCGCAAATTTAGAAAATAGCTACTTTCTGTCATCAACTTTCTTCTTATGTGACTTTTTTAACTACAAATGAATTAGGTGCTGAAGCTGAAGGAGAGGCTGTCAAAGACTGAAGAGGAAATAAGCAGGCTATCCATTGGGATAAGTGGAGATCAAAAGGATGTTAGAGCATTGGAGAGTTCAAGCTCTTCCCTGTCAACGGTCAACCATGAAGTAGTAGCTGAAGACATTAATGCAGTAGACTGGCAAGAATACTTTATTGATTTTATGTACAGTAACTATTGGATTGGATGGGGAGATGATTTCCATGGAATGTGATTAACAGATTCCACTTTTAAGGTTGGCCAATTAATTTGTATTAGTTTATGAGTTAGGATTATGAGTGTGATAATTACGACTAAGGCTTCATTTGGGACGATATTTTTATTGATTCATAAAGCAGCTATCTAGTATAAAAATTTTAATTTTTGTACTAGGAATTAAGTTGTTTTAGGAAGTAGAAAGAAAACGGTCCCAAATGAATCCTAAGTGTCTTAGGCTTCGTTTGGATGGCTTTTGTTCTGCTTCTTAAAGTGATTTTTATGTAAAAAATTAAAAATTTTTTACTAAAAATCTGCTTTAAAAAGCAATAAAAACCATCCCAAACAAAGCCTTTAGAGGAGGAGAAAGTTGTTCAAGATGACAGAAGTAAAATGATGGATTAGTGTGTAGAAAAAGATTAGTTGGTTCTTCCAGATGTGGTCCAGTTATATATTTCTACTGCTTGTATTGCTGATTTGTGTCTATAAAAGTTGATTTTGAGTAGTTAGAAATTTTTCTAAGGCTTTATATTTCCTCTTGTAACTGATTTCAACGCATATAAAATTTGATTAAATACTTGAGAGCAAAAATGTTTTGAAAGAGATGTTACACACATGCAATAATAAAAAAAGAAGGTAAATTCAAGGTAAATAAGTCAAGGAAAGATATTTGGTGCATCTATTATACTTCTAAAATTATCCTCTGAACTTATGAGATAAACATGATAAGGTCAAATATGTTTGAGATTTAGAGCCATGCATCATAATACACTTGCTCGCTCTCTAAATTTCGAGCCAAATACCATCGATAACTCATAGCTTATTGAATATATAATTAAGGAGAATCTAGTTGGATCTAAGGTAAATTTTAAATCAAAAGATAATAGTATATAATATTAATAAGAATATAGTGATTGATTTGCCTTATAAAAAGGTTTGTCGGTATTTTGAGTAAGCTATTACCAAGCTATCTAAGGAACTTTTATTACATCTAGTGAACGTACGCTCGTCTACGTTCGGTTTTAGATCAAAACAGCGCAATACCGAGTTTTTTTAAAAAACTCGGTACAACTCGGTACTCGGTACTTGGTATTGCGCTTTTTTTGCCTAGATCCGAACGTAGAGGAGCGTACGTTCACTGGATAAAATAAAAGTTCCTATCTAAGAGGGTCCCCTTAAGCATCCTTTCGGAAATTATAATTAACTTGTAAAATAATCGAGGCATGATAGTTAATCTACAACTTGACGCTTCCAAATCCTTTAGATATATTTATTTCTTTTGAGTGTTTGTATTTTAGACTCCGAAGGTGCAAACCATGGCATCTAGTGCTAAGTATTGATGTAACATTTTATAATATGATATGTGCAGATACTTTTCTCATGACTCTGACCCAAGGTGCAAATACTTATATTTATCCTATGACATTTATGATAGTTGACTCAAAAATAATAGTTCTTGGATGTATTTCATGATTATTTTATGAGTCAATAAGCTTGATACAATAATTGGTATTTTTCATGAAGCTTGTGCTCATCACATTTTAAAGAATATTATGATTTTGTTTTTAATTAACACTTGTCTAAAGGAATATCATTTGATTTCTTAAGCTTACATAATGGTTGAATTCTATCATCATTTTGAACAAATCAGGATGAATAATTCAGCCAATACTACATACTAAGATAAAGTTAATTTTGAGATGCGAAATTGTTTTTTCTTTTTTTTTTATGTTTTTATTTTTTGAAAACCAAAACAGTTTAATGACACTGATATTTATATGAATTACTTTGTACAAGTAATGATTCATTTGGGATGGATGCAACTTTTTATAAAGATTGTTGTAAAGTTATTATAGAAAAATCAAATTTTTTTGAAACTAGCACAAAAAAATTATAGTTGTGCTTTGAAAAGTAAAGCAATAAGAAAGCTGTCCCAAATAAAGCCTAAGTTATATATTGAGTTTGTGCAGCTCTAATATTTTGCAACTCTCTGATGTGATGTATATTGAGGCTTAGTTTGAGATAATTGTCTTACTTTTTTTAAAAAATTTCTTGAGAGTAAATAGTAATGAAAAAACATTGGCCTAAATCAATTACAAAAGAAGACTAAGGCTTCGTTTGGGACGGCTTTTTTATTGCTTTCTAAAACGGAGTTTTAATACAAAAATAAAAAATTTTGTACTAAAACTCTGTTTTAGAAAGCAGTAAAAAAGCCGTCCCAAACGAAGCCTAAGTCTTCTAATGCTGATAATATGGTTTACTTGTAATACAAGTACTAAGAACTTTAGCATTTTTAGGAGAATCGTGTTGCTTGATAGTGTAATACTTGCAATACATTTAATGTGGTTTGGGCTTTGTTTGAGATAACTTGTTTATTATTTTCTAAAATAACTTTCTAGTAAAAAAATTTGTACTAAAAAGTTACTTTAAAAAATAGTGAGAAAATTACCCCAAATGAAGTCTTAATTGCATTTAGTAATATAGTTTCAATACTAGTGTAACAATGAAATGAAAACACAGGTACTTGAAAAGCAAACAACCCCATAGGAGTTTCAAAATCCATTCTCATTAAGGTTTCGTTTGGGACCGCTTTTTTACTGTTTCTTAAAGCAGGTTTTTAGTACAATTTTTTTAATTTTTGTACTAAAAAGTTGTTTTAAGAAGCAGGAAGAAAGCCGTCCCAAACGAAGCCTAAGACTTTGATTGGGACAGCTTTTTATTGCTTTCTAAAGCAATTTTCTAGTACACAAATTTTTAGTTGAAAAAAAATTTTGTACTAAAAAACTGTTTTAAGAAGCAATAAGAAAGTCATCCCAAATGAAGCCTAAATTTTGGTTATGATACATGTTCTAATTTTTCTAAAAATTTGAGTTAGAATATGTAATTGAGCATGCAGGAATAGACACATATGTGACATATAATAAGCAAGTCATTTATGTGTTCAATTGAAAGAAAAAAAAGGCAAGACATGAATAGTAAATTTTAATTATAAAATATATTACATAAATAAGTTAAGTAAAATTGCATAATCTTTTTTATTTTAGAATACATTATTTAAATAACCTAATATTCATTTAACTCTAATATTATTTTCTTTTTCCTTAATTTCTTTGCATGAATTTTTTATTATGTTTACTTTTATATTTTATCAATATTAATTTTTTTCAAGTTCAAACAAAAAATTAATAATATCATGAAATCATTTTCAATTGAATTTAAGATATTTAAGACATTTAAATTCATTTCTTATTTTATAAGAAATTAAAATAAATTTATTTTAATACGAGTTTGTTCATATATATTTTTTTAAATTTGTATGATTATTACATAATATTTTAAGTTTTAAGACATAATATTATAATATTGTGTCAAATGCATATACATTTTCTATATTTGTAATAATGATATGCTCTCTATTTGTATCATATTGCATTTGTATTCTATATCATAATATATCATAGGTTAGAACATGCTCAATTGAGTAAGCACGAATCTCAATGCGATATTTGAAATGAAAACTTTCAAAATTAAATTATGAACTGTTTGAGTCTAGTCTAATGAGCCTAATATAATGCCCCAATAATGTTCGATTGTGAGTCCAAATAAGCCTAGATAAAAAATTAGAAGTGTAGTTAAAAACTTCATAGCACTATTTTAATGGACCAATCGATCTACGCATCTTGCATGATTATAATCAAAATAAATGTCTATATGGGAGGAATCTAAAGAGTCTAAGACAACTCAATTATGATGTCATTAATATACTTATAGGCTAAATAATGATTTACGAAAAAGAAAATCAATACATATCATCTAATGATGTATTTTTGAGAAATTTGAATGAATCTACAAAAATGCTTATAACAGACCATTTTTATTCAACAATTATTACCCGATACACATTGCCTGATAGTCTCATCATAATAATCATCACTCGATAAGCATCACCTAACCCTCGTAGTTCAACTGATGTCTACTAACTATCAAAGCCTAACCGACATCACTTTACTAAACATGATCTAATCATTGTCACCTATCATCTTTGTTTAACTGTCATCAACCTCCACTATTTATCCTACAATCTCTACAATAACCATAAAAAAACTAAGGGGCTTGTTTGGGGTAGTTGAAGATTTTTATAAAGTGGATATAAAGTTAATATGGTGACTATAACTTTTTTGAAAGCTACTGCAGAAAGCAATTTTCTAGCACAAAAATTTCTTGAATGCGGTGAAAAAATAGTGACCAAATAAAAATTATGGTTGCGATCTAAAAAACAAGTATTTTAATATGCAACCCTAACTTAATTTAATTTGAATCAGACTTCTTATTCTTAAATTTAAATGCCAAAATTGCCTTTATTTTTAAAACTAACACTCAAATATCAACATTCACAATATAGGCCAAAGTTTAATTTTCATTTTTGTGATTTTGTCAAATTCCTAATAATTTGGTACTCATAAATGCTTGAGGTCTACGATTATAAATATATAAAAAGCATCGGTACCAGTTTTGTAAATATATAAACATTGAGGGTTATCTATGTAATTTCTCTTTAAATTTGTTTTTAAAATAGTATAATTAGTTATCTAAAATATATTAATATAAAACAAATCTGATCACAAAAAAAAAAAAAAAATCGCCCCAAATTCTAATTATAGCATGACCCAAATTTTGCTCCTACTTAGGGGTGTCAAAACGGGTCCGCGGTTCGGGTTCAAGTTGAACCTAGATTTAAACGGGATGATCCTAACCCAACCTGATTTTGCAAACGTGTCAGGATTGACGAACTGGACCTGACTAGCGCGGGATAGTGAGTTGACTCGACACGACCCTCCAACCAGCTATTTTCGAATTCCGATTTAATTTAAACGGTTGGGTGGTCAGGCTGAGGCGGTCCAGGTTGAAGGTGAGTTAGGGGCCTAGGGTAGGCTGGTTAGGTGAGGCGGCACGCGGCCAGGGCTAGGCTGAAGGCACGTTTGGAGACTCGACTAGCGATCAAACAAAGGCAGTGGTGTGGTGCTTTGTGCAGTCTTGCGGGCATGTCGGATTGGGCTGTGGTTGGTGAGGGCTAGGTGGCTTGTCGGGCTGGGCGTGTAATGTGCGGACCCCATATTGGGCGAGATGAGACCATGTGGTCGTGGCGAGACAAGACATGTGCCGTTGTGCCGAATTGGGCGAGACGTATGCCTGATTGGGTGCGTGCGAGCAGGCTAGGCCGGGCCTCCCGGGCGAGACAAGACCCAGGTCAAGTTCAAGTTAATTTCGGATTATCAGGTCAACTCGAACACGATCCGATTTAGAATTGGGTCACATTTCTGAATCGGAACCGATCCATCTGACAAACCAATTGGCAGTTGTCCGAAATCCAAAATTTTTCAGATATTCAGATCAGATTCCGGATCATGTCACCCCTACCCTCTTTACTCGCTCTCCCAAGTCCGATATCCCTCGCGGTTAAATAGCCCCTCATAAAAAATCTTCCACTAACGTCATATTCTCTTCAGTCCTTTTTCTTTATTCCCTTGCTTGGATTTTTGTTTTTTTAATACGTAATCGCCAATGCCGGCGCTCCAGGAGGAGAGTAGTGGGGTGTGGACTCCATCGATTCGCGATGAGGCACAGGGGAAGTCTTCTGTCTAGGGTTTCTTCACCGTATTCATCTGCAAAAATGAAGTAAGACAGCTCATTGCTTTGGAGTGGATTTGATTTGATTTGATGCGCGGGTGTAAGGCTGATCGATTTCGTTTTTTAATGTCTTCTTGATTGCGTATATGGCAAATATCCATTTATGATTTTATCGTTGTTGACCAAATGCTTTAATGCTTGACATTTCAAGTTTTGGGACCTCTAATAGTGCGATTGCATTCTAATGATGTTTACTATGGTCGCTATGGATGCAAATTATATGATAGTATTTGATCTTTGGTCCAAAACTAACGATACCACTGATTCTCTTAACTATTTTGTTTAAACGGATTTGCTTGCCCTATAGTGCTAATCCATCAAAATCATAATCTTCCCTCTACTGTATTGGTTTGATTAATCTCACCCCATCTCATACCAAACTGAATACCTTATGCACAACAAACAAGTATTGGATTAAATCTGATTTATTTCTGTAAGATTTCATAATTCTGAGGATTTCATTGATGTTAGCCTTTATTGCATTGGTTAGGGACTCTCTTGCACCCTTGTAGGTTTCGTACATTTTCAGCCACACGTTTTTTTTATCTTTTTCTGTTTTCAGCTGATTGAAGAAACAAGAAAGAGAACAAGTGAGTTTTTTTTTTTTTATCTTGGTTTAGTAACTTTCGTTTTTCTTTTCTTGTTTTGTAAATACAAATAAGTTGTCAGTTAGTGCTAAAGTTACTAATACATGATTTTATCCTTGTTTCATAATTAACTTCTCTAGAATGACATTTTTTTGTCAAGCTTTATGGCTTTCCTCATAAAGCTCAACTAACATCTTTTTTCGTATTGTCATACTTTTCGTCATTAATGTGTCTTGTTTCTCTATCATAAATTTGTTTCAGGCAAGGCCCGTGCTGCCGAGCATTATATCCATGTACTGTTTTGTGCTGCATCAACTTCTTGTTGTATAATAAGTTATTGAGATTAACTAAAGCATGAAAATAGTCTGTATACCTCTTGAATTTTTTTGGAATGTAAATATTGATCAATAAAATAAACAAATAAAAAAATTCCTATTATTGATTTGCTATGCCAGCGTAGCACTTTGTAGTTATTAGAATCCGTTCTTCTTTTAGTTTTTCAAATGTGAAAAACCATTATCTATCTTCATTCCATTCCGGTTGGGTTCTCAAAGTCTATAAGGAACCATCCAATGGTAAATATGGCCAGCATGGACATTCTTTAGTTCTGGATGGGCCTTGTTCTACATCTTCTAAGAATCATAATGTAGATATGGAAATTTTTTATCGTTTTTTATTAATTTCTGGCCTGTTGGCTTCCACATTATGCTTCATATTCAATAATTTGAATTGGTGGCTACTGGTTTAGCACTTAGTTGGCTTGCATTCAATTCTATAATCCTTTTGAACTAACCCTACCTCTAGACATTGAAGACTGCTAAACAAATTAAAATTTAAGTAACTTTTTAGAAACACAGACAAGCGGAAATTCGAAAGGGACATAATTGAACATTCTGCATAATGCTAATGTTAATGTGAATGTAAGCTACTATTATAATAATACTATCCTATGCTGTTTTAAAAACAAAGCTCAACTCACCAATTATGCTAATTTGGTTTTAGAAGCCTTGTGGAATGATTATTTTTACTCTTTACAGTTTACTTTCTGGTATTTTTGTTATCAAACTTTATCTTCTACTCTTGCTATGCTTTGACATTTCTATTTGGAGTTGGATTTTACATTCTGATTAGGTGTTGAGAGAACAAAGTAAAAATGTAAAATATTTAAGTGTAGAGGAAGAAAAGAAAAAATATATATATTTCATTTTTTAAGAGAGAATAAAAATAGTCATCGAGTTCTTGATTGTGAATTGAAAAGAAATGGTATATTTTATTGACATATATACTCAAATTGACATATATACCCTCACAAAATAAAGATAGGTTAGACTTATTGTATTGAAGAATGGGTAGGTTGGATATTATCAAATTTTACTTTAGCAAATCCTTTCTCTCCACTTTCTCCTTGTTTTGGTCAAGAAACGAAATTCGTATATTTTTCTCTCATTTCATTTCTTTTCTTCTTAATTAAATCCTGGATAAAAAACTAAGTATTTACTTTCTTTGTAATTCTTTTCTTTTCCCTTTAATAAATGGGGTGGCTTTTTGATATGTCGGTTCCCCAGGAACCGACTCAACCTCAGCCGGCCCAGGTGGGGCCGACACTTGTGTACAAGAGGCGGGGCAAACTGCTTCCTTCCTACACCGCTTAAGGGAGGGGCTCACGCCCAATTTGTTTGGATTTAATTAATTAAAAAAGAATTTGTATTAAATAATAATATCTTATATTAGGAAAGTTGATTTAATTAATTAATTAATTAAATACTAGCCTTGCCAGATTTGTATGACTATGGTGACGGTCATAGCCTTGCCAGATTTCACTCAGACCTTCATTGTGGAGACAGATGCTTCCGGGTACGGGCTGGGTGCAGAGTCGTAGACCCATTGCCTATTTCAGCCATGTACTGACTGCTAGAGCCCGTCTGAAATCAATATATGAGAGAGAATTAATGACCATCATTTTGACCATCCAGAAGTGGCTGCCCTACCTTCTTGGGAGGCATTTGATTGTCAGGACTGATCAGCTAAGCTTGAAATATTTGTTGGAACAACGGATGGTAACAGAAGAGCATCAAAGGTGGTTGTCCAAGTTGCTAGGGTACGATTTTGAGATTCAGTATAGACTAGGAGTGAAGAACAAGGCGGCAAATGCTTTGTCCAGATGTATGGGGGAGCTGCAGACGGTGACACTAACCGTTCCTTTAATGCTTGACTGGGAGACCATCAGGGAAGAAAGTGCTAGAAATGAAGAATTGGGAAAGATCAGGTTAGAATTGCTGAAAAAGGAGTGTAGTCAACCAGGGTACTCATTAGAGGGGGACAGACTGATGTATTAGGGAAGATTTGTAATGCCCCGTACCTCGATCCACATCCCAAATTTACTCCAGGAATTTCATGGAAGTGCAGTTAGGGGCTATTCAGGAGTGTAGAAGATCTACAAGAGATTAGCGGCCGAGCTTTACAGGAAGGGAATGCATAGATATGTAGATGAGATGTTGGCAAGGTGTGAGATCTGTCAGAGGAACAAATATTTGACTATGTCGCCAGGAGGACTACTACAGCCGTTGGCATTACCAGGACGAGTATGGGAGGAGATATCCATGTATTTCATAAATGGGCTGCCTTATTCAGAAGGCTTCACAGTGATCTTGGTGGTGGTGGATAGATTGAGCAAGTATGCTCATTTCATCCCCCTCCGACATCCTTACACCGCTGTGATAGTGGCTTCAGCATTCATTAGAGAAGTGGTCAGATTGCATGGGGTATCAGAAGTGATCATGTTAGACAGAGATAAGGTGTTCCTCAGTCATTTTTGGAGGGAGTTGTTCAGGTTACAGGGGACAGTTCTGAAGAGAAGCACCGCTTATCACCCATAGACAGATGGTCAAACGGAGGTGGTCAATAGGAGCCTAGAGACATACCTGAGATGCTTTGTGTCAGAAAAACCCAAGCTATGGGCCAAGTGGCTATCTTGGGAAGACTACTGGTACAACACGTATTTTCATTCTGCTTCACAGATAAATCCATTCAAGTTGTTGTACGTACGAATCCCTCACACTTGGTGCACTTTGGGAGTAGCAGTACCCATGTGTCGTTAGTAGAGGAGTACTTAGAGGAGAGGGATCGAGTACTAGAGGAGTTGAAGATGCATTTACTGAGAGCTCAACAAATTATGAAGAAACAAGCATATGGGCATAGGAAGAACATCCAATTTGAAGTAGGGGAGAGGGTGCTCTTGAAGCTTCGACCGTATAGACATAAGACAGTCGCTAACAGGAGGAACGAAAAGCTGGCTCCAAGATATTTTGGGCCTTATGAAGTGCTGGATAAGATTGTGAATATCGACTGAAATTAACAAGCAGCAACTATACATTCGGTTTTTCATGTCTCGCAGTTGAGGAAGGACATTGGTGACTACACAGCCAGTCCCGAGCTACCAGCAACACTTACTAAGGATTTAGAGGTAACTCCGGAACCCTTAGAGCTGGAAGGGGTTCACCAAAACAAAAATGGAACTAAGGAGGTGTTGATCAAATGAAAGAAATCCCGGCCACATGGGATCCATATGAGAGGATAAAACAACAGTTCCCTTGTTTTCACCTTGAGGACAAGGTGACTCTTTGGGAGGGCGATATTGATATGTCGGTTCCCCAGGAATTGACTCAACCTCAGCCGGCCCAGGTGGGGCCGGCACTTGTGTACAGGAGGTATTGATATGTCTGTTCCCCAGGAACTGACTCAACCTCAGCTGACCCAGGTGGGGCCGGCACTTGTGTACAGGAGGCAGGTCAAACCGCCTCCTTCCTACACCGCCTAAGGGAGGGGCCCACTACCAATTTGTTTGGATTTAATTAATTAAAAAAGATTTGATATATATTTTTTGTATTAAATAATAATATCTTATATTAGGAAAGTGTATTTAATTAATTAAAAAGATTTGATATCTTTTGAATTAATTAAATACTATCTTATATTAGGAAGTTTTTAAGGAGGTGGAGAGGGCTATTTAAAGGGCATGAAGGGGTTAGGGCTAGGGAGGCTTTGGTTATTGTCTTCTTGTAGTCTCTTGGGTGTTTTGGGCTCTAAACTCTTGTTTAGAGATTTGGGAGAGACGATCCTCCTCTCGAATAGAGGATTAATTGTATATTTTCTTCTAGCTTATTTTGCTTTGAGTATTTAATCAAGTTCTATTATTTTCTTGGTTGTTTCATCTCCGATCTTGGGTATTCTCGCTGTTTTTACCAATTTCACATTAGGGTTGCTTGCGAACTCAAGTAGATCCGATAGGATTACTTGCGAACTCAAGTACTTCCTATCACTTTTGTTTTGTTCTTACAGGTTTTTGTTTACTGTTCCAGACAAAAGAAGATTTTTGGGATATCCTTATCCCTTATTCTGATCAACATGGCATCAATAATGGAGCGTGCTGATGAAAATCTTCTTCCAGCTGTTTACAAAGAAGTTAGCCAAGCTTTTCATGCTGGTCCAACTGACCTTGGCTATCTTACTTTCATAAGAAACTTTGTTCAAGCATTATCATCTCCATTGGCAGGGGTGTTGGCTCTTCACTATGACCGTCCATCTGTCCTTGCACTTGGCACTGCATTTTGGGCCTTGTCAACAGCTGCAGTGGGAGTTAGTCAGCATTTTCATCAAGTGGCATTTTGGAGAGCATTAAATGGCTTTGGATTAGCCATCGTGATTCCAGCGCTCCAATCTTTCATTGCAGATAGTTACATAGACGGCTCACGAGGTACAGGGTTTGGCATGTTGAACTTTGTAGGTTCAGTTGGAGGGATAGGAGGTGGTGTGGTAGCAACAATTATGGCTGGGCAACATTATTGGGGCATCCCTGGATGGCGATTTGCCTTCATCATGATGGCAACATTGAGTTTAATGATTGGAGTTCTTGTGTTTTTATTTGTTGTTGATCCCAGAAAAGCCTCTGGGATTGCCGTTGGAACTTATGAAGACTCTGAGAGGTAGCAATTTTACTCTTTTGGGTGTTAAATTTTCATCTTGCACTCTATTATGTTATATCCAATTTGATGAAAATTTCTCTTATGAAATACTCATATCTACTTGAGTTCTTTTTTTTTTTTTTTAATGATAAATATATTCCCTTAATCGCTGAACTTTTTGTCATACATGTGCAGATTCAAGTACATTTACTGATTCCGTGCAATGAATTTTCATATACTTAAAGGTGTTATTTGTGTTTCTTCAGCTATTACATGGATATAATGTATTGAACTTTGCACACATTTTAAGGGGTCTTTTTTTCTTGAATACCATAGGAGTTCTGCTTGATAAAAAGGTTTACTTTTCCTTAATGCAATTCATAGGATCTAGTTTTCTTTCCAGTTTAATTTTTAAACTTTATAGGACATCGGATGCATAGGTTTTAGGTTTCAAGTTTGAGATTTCTCAAGATTATTGTAATGTTGAAGTGGTTGCTATATCAATGTGATTAGAATCCCTCTTTGTTAACTTTTTTTTTTTGCTTGATTTAGGATGTTTTTGCCGACCCTTTATATAATCATTGAATATATATACTCTTTTACTAAATATTGCTCTGGCGTACAATGGAATTGCTTGGTTTAATTTATAGAAATTTGTATAATAGTCATTGGAGTTTAGCCCTTTTCTGAAGGATACCACTTTTCCAATCTTAAAATTTTTAATTTTATTTTTAACAGACACTTGAAACCTCTATTGAATAATTATTTATGGGTCAATAGTTCCTAACGTTTTTCTCATAAGAAAAAAATCCATTTTATTCGATGATATTCTATGAGAGATTGTTTTATTGTATTCAAGATGCTTCCTTCCATAGATGAATTTCTTGGAGACAGGATAAATAGTAGATAAAGTTCTTACCAAAGATTTTCCCTTTACTGGTGGACTTCATGTTTCTAATTTGGTGCTTCCCAAGCAAGCTCCTGTAGTTAATTATCCTTATTGATTATGAGAGAAAACTTTTGATTATGATTAGTTGTTTAATGCATAATTTTCTATACCCATCCTAGCCACGTGTTTCATCACTCGGGCACTAGTAGGGTTGATTATGCAACTAATATTTCCTTTCGCTTAATTCAAGCTTTGATTTGATTAATGATCCTACTATTGGTTATAGCTTCAATCGGCCAACTTGGTTTGCAATTCAATGATTTAAGTCCTATCCACCAAATCCCTTACCACTTTCTTAGGCATTGCAGAGCTTTACCAAATGCCAACTTGTCCTTGATCTCCATGTTTCACATCCACTTTTGTCACCTGAATTGCTTTATCTTCACATAGGTAATTTATAGCCTCCGATACAAGCCAATGGCTTATGATACCAATCTCGCTGCGTAGACTATCACATGTTGCTTCACTCTTATCTTGGTTATCATCTGCCGCTTTATTCATAAATATCATGCCGCTTGTTGTCGGGTAAGCACCATGCATCCATTTGTCTAAGCATTCCAAGGACCTCCTTCCCATCACGCAGCTACTACAAATAAACCCTTCTTTGGTTGGAGGAGTGTCTTGGTCTTTATGTTGTATTTTCTATGTTGTTCTTTTACTCGATCAAAACAAATTTTTTCTAGATCGACAAACCTATATTTTGGACTTTAAACATATATCATCCATGTGTCCAATTTTAAATATTCAGGGGTGATTCATGTATTCACATATTTTGGCACTCTTGTTGAGACCTATTCTAGATGAAAATGGTCATTTGGGACAAAAGCATACCCCTTCAGGTAATAATGGCGAGTCACCCCACCATCTTCGTGAGATCTTTGCTTCTGCACTAGCCAAATCTATGTACATAACTCAAGCATAATTCGCCGTTGGTCATCCCGAACATGTAAAGTCACTTGACAAGAGGTCAACAATGATGTAGGTTGATCTAGCTCATATGGTGTTTCGTCAGTCGATGTTCAATCTTGTCAGACGTGCTTGCCTCAATTGTTAGATATATTTTAGAGGTCAACAAAAGATATTCTTCTTGTTGATAAAACTAGAGAGAGTTGAAGGTAAATTTGAATTATGGAGGTCAACTTTTGAGTCTAATGGTTTTCATTTGAGTAAATTTAAAACTAAATACATGAAGTGTAATTTTAGTAGTAATAGATCTAGTGGGGGTATGACTTTGGGCGATCAAGTCATCAATAAGAGTGAATATTTAAGATATCTTGGGTTTATTGTTTAGAGTGATAGTGAAATAGATTGGGATATTATTGTAGAATTCAAATTGGATGGTTGAAGTGGAGGAATGCATTAGGCCTATTGTGTGATAGAAAAATACCCCTCAAACTAAAGGGAAAAATCTATAAGATGATAGTGTTATGCTTTATGGCGCAAAATGTTGGCCATTAAAAGAGATGCATAAAATTAAGTTATTTTTTGCATATATGAAATGCTTAAGTGGATGTGTGGCTTTACTCTTAGAGAAAAAAATGTGAAACGGGCATATACGTGAAAATGTTGGAGTAGCTCCAGTGATAGATAAGATTAGAGAGAGTTGCCTTAGATGGTTTGTTTACATAAAATCACAGCCTTCTGATAACCTAGTTAGGAGAGTAGATGTATTAGATTTGGTTTATATTAAGAAAGGTAGAGGTAAATCTAAAAAAAATGTGGTTAGAAAATATTAGAAATGACATTTTTTTTAGATTTAAATGAGAATTTGACTTTTAAAAGCACACAATGGAGAAAAAAAGATTCATGTAGTTGACCCCATAGTGAGATAAATGTTCTTGATGTCGTTGTTTCCTCTTCTTTCTTTGTTGGTTTACTCTCACATTGTTCATGCTATTTAACAACAATCTTTTTAAGAGCGACAAACATGACAATTGTTAATTAGCTATCTTCTTAATTAGAAAAAGACCATAAATTCTTTTAGATTTTTCATTTGATTCGTCTTCTATCGATTTATGGGTTTTTTACTCCATAGAATTATCTAGATTTAACTTAATCTCACTCAAATCATGAAGAAATCCTACACGTTGAAGCTACTACTCGGACACCAATTGATTTTGAATTGGGGATGTGCTGAAGACTCGTAGAATTGGTTTGAAAATACTAGTACAAGGGAATATAGATTATATGGAGGAATGAGAGCTTTACCTAATCTAATCAAGAGGTGAGAGATAGAGTTTTGGATGGCCTTTAGATGTGTGTCATAAAGCGAGGAGATGTAGGCTCTCCTTAATTGAGAATTTGAGGGGAGGAAAATCATTCAATTGCTTCAAGCTGGATTGTTACACCATGTGCCCATCTATTTATAGCAAAGTAGTAGTCAATCCTTGTGTATCTATAATTCCAACTAAATGCACTAATTTAGAAATCTTTATCCCGAGCTTCCTTCATCCATTCAAATTATGGATAAGCATACCTTAAACCAAACAAATATTTGCTTGAATTTCTCTTTAAAGTGTGACCGGCCATGTAGAAATAGGTGGAGAAGATTTGGGAGGGAATATTGGGTAGTTTTCTTTATATCTTTCACATAAATCTCTCATGTCCTAATTTGCCGCCCATGCTTAAAGTATTAATGCCCATACTGGTATAATATAAAATATTGCTGAGAATTTAGTAACATAATTTTATGGAAATGGTAACCGACACGTGTATTAGCGCCATAACCATTGATCATTTGAAGTTGTAATTACTCAGATTACATAATATGGTTGCATTTCATGTTTCGGTATGCCATTTTAAGGTAGTGGATTTCTGAATTCTGAAATAGGATGGTTAATTTTTAAACGCGTTTCTGATAAAGCTAGAAAGAATTCAAAGAATAGAGTATAAAATGATTATATTAGATATATTGTGAGAGTAGCACATATGAAGGTTAAGGTTATGAAAAATATATTTAGGTGCTTAACTCCAGACTTGTATGACAGAGATAGTAAAGCCTGTATCAAGTAGGTGGTTAGAATCAAAATCTGAAATTATGAGAAGAAAAAATTAGGGGGCTAAGGCCTCGTTTGGTTCCCGACGGCTTTTTTTCCTTTTTAAACGGAGGTTCTAAGAACGGGCAAGCAGAAATTTTTTTCTTCTCAGATCGGCAGGTGTACGGAGTATTAGGAAAATGATTTTTACAAAAGTCATCTAAACAAACATAAAATAACAACTGTTTTTCCCTATTCTAACCGAAAAAGGTGTAATTAGGCCCAACCAAACGAAGCCTAAGATAACGTTTGCTAGAGCCTAGAAGTTATGAATAAAAAAATTTGTAAAGCTAAAGTTAAGGCCGCGTATTTTCTAACACGCAACAAGGAAAATGATTTTTACAAAAGTCATCTAAACAAACATAAAACAACAACCGTTTTTCCCTATTCTAACCGAAAAAGGTGTAATTAGGCCCAACCAAACGAAGCCTAAGATAACGTTTGCTAGAGCCTAGAAGTTATGAATAAAAAAATTTGTAAAGCTAAAGTTAAGACTGCATCCTACACTCAAAGAGAAGCTAATAGTGAAGAAAAACTTGAAAGCTTCCCTCTAAATTTGTAGTGTACACTTTGCATATGGATGATGAAAATATTTATATATATTTCATTTGTGGATCTAATGATCTGCACTAAAAAGGTTTATGACGAAAATTGTATCATAACAGTCCCATTTGCTCATCTACATAGGGTCTATTTGAATTATTCTACTTTCATTCATTCCCTTTTAAAAATCTTCTTTTCTTTTAATCTTAACACAAAATTTCCCTACATTCTCTCAATCCAGTTCTGTTCATCTGTTCCAAACCAGTTTGCTCGGGAAAGTCGCGCCGTTTTCACCTTCTATCTGGACTGATTCCTGGTCTGCAATGAAGAGCGTCATGAAAGTCAAGACATTTCAGATAATAGTCCTGCAGGGAATTGTTGGTTCTTTGCCATGGACTTCCATGGTGTTCTTTACCATGTGGTTTGAACTCATTGGTAAGCACATATTACCTGCAAATAGAAGAAGATCCTCCATTCTCCACATATCTGAATACTCTGTATTTCCGCACCAGGTTTTGATAACAAGAACTCAGCCGCCCTCACCAGCCTCTTCGCAATCGGCTGTGCCTGCGGTTCTTTCCTCGGAGGATTCCTCGCCGACCGAGCCTCCATTTTCTATCCCGACAAAGGCCGAATCATCTGCGCGCAGTTCAGCGCCTTCATGGGCATCCCTTTCTCATGGCTCCTCCTTTCCCTCATTCCTCAATCAGTTAACAGCTTTGCGGCCTACGCCGTGACCCTCCTCCTCATGGGGATCACAATCAGCTGGTGCGCTTCCTGTGCGAATAACCCCATGTTCGCCGAAGTCGTCCCGACGAAGCATCGAACGATGATCTACGCCTTCGATAGGGCTTTGGAGGGCTCCTTCTCTTCTTTTGCTGCTCCGGCGGTCGGAATGCTAACAGAGAGAGTGTATGGTTACGATTCTAATCTTGCAAATGCTTCAGTTGATCAGGCAATTGCGCTTTCGAGAGGTTTGTTGTCGATGATGACCGTGCCTTTTGGGCTCTGCTCTTTGTTTTATACTCCATTGTATGTTGTGTTCAGGCGAGATCGCGACAGTGTGAGGACAGCAGGTGTGAAGGAGCAGGAACTGATTTAGGTTTCGGTTGAAACAGCAGCTTTTTTACTGTTTTTTAAAATAAATTTTTATTATAAAAATTTTTTTGAATGAAAATTTTTGTACTGATTAAAATAGTTGTCTCAAATAAAATCTTAGTGAAATAAATTGATGATTGTTACATTTATAATCCAATTCAATATAATATTTGTGAAGGGATTATTCATTGTATCTTATGTTTTGATTTTCTTTTTTTTTTTGTTGGGTGGGCTCTCTTTATTTCTAATTTGATACATTTATATTGAAGGAATCAATTGGCCTCTAAAAGGTAACAGACCATATACATTATGAGTATATGATATTGATATATCGTGAAATAATTATCTTGATCGGGGCATGAATATCGAGGCAAAATCAAGTTGAAAACTTATGAAATTAAATTTGGGATCATTTAAACTCTGATTTCAATTTTCATCAAACTTACCGTCGAAATGAATGTCTCGAAAATACGAACCCATTGATACCAAATTCGGCCCAATCTCAGCCCAAGTTGGTTCAAATCAATGAGTTGAAGATCGTTTGAAAAATTCAAACTAGAAATGGGATGACAAATGTTCAAAAGTAACATGCTTATAATCAAATTGAGCGGCACGACGAGACGAATCCAACGAGTCCAAGATTGTCAAATTATGATATCATTAAGACATTCAAGTGCCTAGTAAACGATCCATGATCAAGAGGATCAACATCGATTGTCTATTCAAATTACTCTCAACTTACCCTTGATCTATATCCTATTTATTGGTCATGCCACTCTCAAAAACTATAAATGAACCTCTCATTACTCATGGGAATGGGACTTTAGCAAGGAACAAAAGGAAGAGAAAGAAACTAGATTTCTCTTGCCACCAGACGAACTCCTCGATCACCGCTAGACTTTCACCTGGCCACCGACTGTCGTGGGACTTCCGCCTAACCACCGACAGACATTGGACTTCTGCCCGATCACCAACTGGCAATGGATTTCCGTTCGACAATTGAAAGTCGTGGAATTTCCGTCTGATCTTTGCTCGTCACTAGATTTCAACTCGATGGTTGATTGTTGTAATATGATCTTCCTCCATAGGACGGATTAGTCATTTGTAATATATTCAAATACTATTTTAATCATTTCAATTGGGTGTGACCTCGCGATTTTTTCTTTTTTCCATGATTTTCCATGTAAAAAATATTGTGTTCTTGAATTTCCTGTTTGTGTGCTAGGTATCCGCTGTTTTGATTAAGATTTTATTTGGGACAATTTTTGTATTGCTTTATAAAGAAGCAAGGAAGAGAGAGAAGCTAGAGTTCTCTAGCCACCAGACTTCTCGATCACCGTTGGAATTTCGCTCGGCAACCGACTGTTGTCGTACTTCCGCCCAGCCACCGACTGACACTAGACTTCCGTCCGAACTCCTTATTTGTGTGTTGGATATCTATACAACATTGAGACGAAACATTCTAAGCATCGTATATTTTAGTTCTCAACATATATAAAAAATTAAGGCTATATTTGTCATTGTTATGTTGTAAAATAAAGTGAATAATAGTTTGTAAGAGTACTGTATAAAATATTAAAAGTTGTTTAGCCTAAGGTAGAAAGTATTATAAAGGGTGAAATATACATAACTATTTTCCTATTATGGGCCCATGGCTATTTTATTTTCATTTTTTTTAAGAGATGAGCATCAATATGTAATTTATTAAAAATTAATAAATTAGAATGCTTAAATACGAAAATATTAACAAATAGAAATGCTAGATTCACGCAAATTAAACAAATGCATGTGCTGATAGGGTCAATATTGCGTCCGGTGTCCTGATTCGTCCGGACACCAATTCGGTGTCGCCATGTCACAAAAAAAAATAGGAAATTACAATGTGTAATTATATTCACCGGATTGGATGCCCGGACATCCGGTAACCGGACGCAATAATTATCGGCTGATAGGACCATTTATTAAATTTAAATTGATGATGGCAAAATGCCCTTTTGATTAACACTTCCTTTGGAATAGCTTTTGTACTATTTTATAAAGTAGTTGTTTAGTATAATTTTTTTTAAAATTGTGCTAGAATGTTGTTTTAGAAAGTAGTAAGAAAGCTGTTAAGCTGTCTCAAATGAAGTCTAAAGCTTTCTTAATATTTTATAATGCAGTTTTTTAGTACAAAAAGTTTTTATTTTAAAAATTTTCATTCTAAAAAGTTGTTTTAAAAAACAGCAAGAAAGTTGTCTCAAATGAGATCTAAGTCTAGAAAATCTTGTAATGGTAGTTGTAAAGTTGTTGCGTGGTAATTATTTTTTAAAAAAAGTTATTATGCAAATTATAAATAATATAAATATTTAGTTATTTATTTATTGTAAAATATAGCTGTATAATTTTAATTTTATTCTATGCTTTGATAATTAGAAGTTACAAAATAGCTTCAGTAGTATATATATATATATAACTTTTTTACTGCTTACTATCACAATTTTTTAGAAAAAAATTAAAAAAATGAATTAAAATTTTATTTTAGAAAAGAGTAAAAAGTTATCACAAACGAAGTTTTAGGCTTCGTTTGGAATGGCTATTTCACTGCTTCTTAAAGCAGCTTTCTAGTATAAAAATTAGTCTTCGTTTGAGATGCCTTTTTCACTACTTCTTAAAGTATCTTTTTAGTACAAAAATTTTAATTTTTTATCAAAAATCTGCTTTAAGAAGCAGTAAAAAAAGCCGTCACAAATGAAGCCTTAGCCGCCCTATGACAATTCATTGAGGCACGCCCAAGCTAGTGGGGGAATGAGCCCCATTGCTGTTGGATTCATCCATGATCCATAGATGAAGAAACAGATAATTGATTTACTTACTACACCTCTTTCTTTATTTCTCAATTTTTATCGTGCATCAGATACTGAATATGTGTGCCATCTATTAAATATTTAAAAAACCACAAAGTAATCCCGAGATTGAGAGAGAGAGAGAGAGAGAGTTATAGCTAGGGGTGTCAATTCGGGTCAACCTGTCGGGTTTGGGTCGAACCCAGAACTGACCTGGCATTGTTCGGGTCAACCCGAACCCGGCCCATTTAAAAAAAAAGGGTCAGGTTTCCGGTTCCGAACCCGACCTGATTCGGGTCCGAGTCAACCTGACCCGACATGAATGACCCGAAGTTGACCTAAAATTGCTAGTTTTCGGGTCAAAAATCGGGTCAATCTTCGATTTTCTGGTCAAAATCGGGTAAAAAACGGGTAAATCTCGGGTTTTCGAGCCAAATAGGTGTTTTCATGTCAATTTCAAGTCATTTTTGGGTTGCTGGGTCAACCTGAATTCGACCCGTTTTTGAAAACGGGTTGATTTGTTGAACCCGAACCCGACCCGTTTCGAATCCGGGTTGACCCCAACCCGGATTTTTTCGAGTCGTGTTTCGGGTCGGGTCAAAAGTTGACACCCCTGGTTATAGCCCTAAAAAAATATTACTCAAATTTAGTGACTTTATAATCATCAAAATCTTTATTTTACTAATCTTAAATAATTATAATTATAAAGTTCATCCCTTTCAATCTTGAACCATAATATCATAAGCTAAATTTAAAAAGAAAAAGCTAAAATTTCCCAAAAATATAACTGTAAAGCAATCACTACTAAGGTCCCAAACAAATAACCATTTAAGGAATGAATTAAATAATACAGCTTGCTTTGGACAACCACCCACCAACCATACAAATGCTAGAAAAAGGCCAACAATAATGAAAATTTTTATCAAAATATTTTGAATAAATTTAAAATTTTTATTTAAAATTTCAGGATCTTTTAAGGTCTCTTTTGCAAATTTCTTATAATTTTTTTTAAAATTTTTTAAAGTTTTTAAATCATAATTTTGATTTAATAGAAAATTAATATAAATTGGCATTCTCTCTGAATCTTTTACTGCTGTTCACAATTATTAATTTGAATAATTGTAGATTTACATACCATTTAATACTATTCTATTTACATATTTAACACCTAAAATTTTAATATTACATAAATACCACCCATAGTTCATTTTCATACCAAATATGAGTGGTAGAAATTAAATATATGAGTGATAGGAAAGAAATATAAGTGGTATATTTGATATTAAAATAATATAGGGTGGTATGCATATAATATTAAAATTTTAGATGTTAGATATGTAAATAGAATGTTATAAAATGCTATGTATATAAATTTCCCTTCTTTGTAAATAACTCCAGCCAGGCAGCAACAATAAGGCTTCTGTCAATCAGTTTATTTCTTTCCAACTCATAAGCAATTATATTGTGCCAGTCTCTCCATATATAGCAAAGTGGTCTTGCAGCCATTATTTTGTGAAAGAAACATTTAGATTTTTATGCAGCTCATTGATCTATTGGTTGAGAGCTTTGATTATCAGCTAATAAATCTTAGGTGCGTAGGTTGCATGCATGTCATGCGTCTAAATTTGTCTTTAATTAACTCAAAAGTTCTAAAAATGCTTGTAGATTTTTTTTAAGGGAATCCAATCATTTTTTTTTTTTGCAGTGAAAATCCAATTATTACAGTTTACAGCAAGAAGGTTTACATGTAATCAAATATCAACTAAATGAAAACATCATTCAAAATAAAAATCTCAGGCATGCTTGAATCAAGGAACATATAGTAGTATAAAATGAGAAGTGCAGATAAGCTCCATGCAAGATTAAAACTGAAAAGGCTAAAATCAATATGTTTCATCAATGACCTTTGTTCCCTAGCCCTTAAGACTAGGGTTGTCAATATTTGACCTGAGCCAAAAACTCAACCCGAAAATTTCGGGTTCGGGTCAATCTGAACCCGGTGGGATTCGAGTTAGGGATTTTGACCCGTTTGTAAAAATGGGTTGGGTTCAAGTTAACCAGGAAACCCGAAATCAACGCAGTTTGACCTATTTTTAATTAATTTAGGAGTGTTTAAAATGATTGTTATGAAATAAGTAAATGATATTTCTAAAAAATAATAAATATTAGTGCCCAAATTAAATAAAGCTTGATTTGTTTTAAATTGATTGAAGTAAATATTACTTTAATTTGATTTAGATTTAAATAAATCGAAAATAAAAAATTGTAGTCAAATATATCCGAAGCGGGTCGGGTTCGGGTTGACCTTGACCAGAAGTGTTCGGGTTCGGAAAACTGATCTGTTTGTAAAAATGGGTCGGGTTAGAGTCGGGTCGAATCAGTTTCGAGTTGGACCTGAACCCAACCTGTGACCCGATTTTGACAGCCCTACTTAAGACCCTTAAGAGGGACCTCAGCAATTGTCACAAGAGAGTAGAATTTCTCATAGGCATCTTCTTTCTCATTCCTCTTGCGAGCAATTATAAAACTAATTTTTATTTTTTAGAAAAGATAACCAAACAAAACCTTAGCAAGAGGATACTCAGAGACGAATTTTAGTTTTCCTTCTCATTTTATTTTCTATTGATTATAGCTTCATTTATGGGCTTATTAGTTTATTAAATTTCTAATATCTTTAACACTATTGATATGAGGTTCTATTTTTGATATATCCTCAAAGAGTGTGAGCCCCACAAAAATGATATTTGTATTAATTGAAATACTACTTAATTTTTAAGTATTATTGACAGAGAGATTTTATATTAACAAATTCTTAATAATATGATACAATAGTTAATTGGTGATACTATTAAAAGAATTTTTTGTAAAAAAAATAAAATAATATCTTTAATCTCTAAGGAAATCTTAGATTTGAATACTAAAAAATAATTAACTATAGTTTCTTATGTTCTATTTGAAGAAAATAATAAAAATTTTAGAGACTCAAAATATCTCACAATATTCATGCAATATCTTAAATAAAATAAAAAAATTAGAATAGAGAATATTAAAATTCAAAGCGATGAGAATAGGAAGAGTTGATCCGATATATATAGAACGAGGAATAAGATGATTATGTCAATGTATAAAAAGAGGTGTTCGAATCGTCACAAAATCACGATGAAGAAGGAAAAACGAGAGAGAAGAGAGAGAAATTAGAATATTGCGAAGATAAGTGAGATATCATATGCACTTATTTTTTAGGACACAATCAAGGCTAAGCTTTGATAAAGAATTTACTAAAATCTATCAATTGGATCAATTTTTTCGCATATGAAGTTCAAATCAAACAAAAGAGAACTTAGACACAAGCAAAACTTCTATTTTTCTCAAAATTTTGAATCAATTAAAAGCTTCCTTGCAAGCTACTATAAGTCTAAATTTGTATTTATCTATACTTTAAAATGTAAAAAGTACGAAAAGATGATTAATTTTGAACCCACTCAAATCTACATCAAACAATTTTAAAATTGAAATGATTGAAATCAACCAAACTCAAAATCAAATAAATACGAATTCGATAACTTTGAACTCAAGACTTCTTGGCTGATAGCCTAAGCTCCCAACCAACACATCAAAATGGGCAGCATAATTTCAAACAATTTGATATAGCTAATTTCATCAACCATAAGTACATCCATTTGGACCATCTAATGCAGCAACATAAAATACAAAAGTCCAAAACTTGGGCAAATTAAGCTAAAAAATGCTTCATGGAACTTAGGGGACCACAGCAAATTCAATAAATTCAACTTACAGAATCTCCTTCTCTGCTCATAAAAATAAAAAAAGGAATGAGATTCCATTAAACATTATAGTCATCACATATTGAAATTCTTTTCAGCTTTTTCAAGGAATTATGGACTAAATGCATTATTCTAATGGAGCATTCAGAGTTTCAAAACAGATTCGCCCATTGAATCCTACAATCAGATGAACCACCTAACAAGCAGATGAACCACCTAACATCTTAGGTTTTGTTTGGATAGATTATAATATTTTTTATCAGAACCTTTTAAAAATTATTTTCTCAATCATAATTTATGTTCTACTTTTCAAAGTAGCTTTTTTAAAACACTCTTTAAGAAAAAGTGTACAGTTCTTTGTCCATTCAAATAGATTTTCTTTTTTTCCTGCCACAAAAACAGCCTCAAAGAAAACCTCAAGGATGCATTGAATCAAAAACATTCAACAACCCTTTAATACATAATAACCTTTTTCTTTTAATTGAATTTTTTAGAGAAATGATCAATGACAAATCATAATTATTCAAACTCACTACCTTAGGGGCTATTTGGTAGCAGGATTTAGGCCAGATTTGAGGCGGATTTGAGCGAAATCCAGCCAAACGGCCTAAAATGCAAATCCAAATCTCACGGTAAATGAAAACAATAGTAGAAGGAATATTACCCCTTTTCATGATAAATCCCGGATTTCCGAAATTCTCTGATTCGGCAGATTTAACAGTCCATTGGCGCGAGAGGGAATAAGAGCCCGCTCGTTTCAGGATTTAACGCTCTATAGTCAAACAGTCGCACATGATTTAACAGGATTTATCATGAATGTTACCAAACAGATTTCAGGATTTAATCCCCCAAGATTTCGTAAATCCGGATTTAGAAGATTTACGAAATCCTACTTAAATGAAATCCTAGGTGCTACCAAATAGCCCCTTAGAGAAACAACATTCTCCTATGAGCAATTTTTCATGCTCCTTTCTGGTTATGAGACATAATTTAATGATTTCCATGCTTAATTTCAATCCTAAATGATCTTTAGAAGTATTATACTTTCATAAACAGAGCATACCCGGGCTACTTCCTACAAGTTTTGGCTGGTTTTGGTCAAATTTCAGTGCTTTCAACCAAGTATCTGTAATTTCAACAGGCTTATTCTTATAGTTCTGAGTCTAAACAAACCAAAGCTGACCAAAAGAAAACATTCTAACCATCGATATTTGTTTAAAGCAAAACTGGAAGCCATGGCTCTAAAAATTTCTACAGATGAAGAAATGCAGACAGCAGAGAGAAAAGCCAGGAGCAGAAATATCATAAATATACAACGGTTTTCAGTAACCATACAAAAAAAAGACAGCTAAAATCAATTTCTTTACAGAGAAAGTAAAGATAAAATTGTAAATGAGCTGAATAAATGATTTGCAGTAAGGAGGTCCCATGAAATATGAATGATGGATGTAAGGATAGTACATATAATGGAATACACTGAACTAGAATTTATAATTAATCTCAGAATCAATGGAATTAAAATAAATGTTTACAGATAATAATGTTGAAAGTAAAAAATGACATGAATGAACAAGATGGGAGAGCACTAACAAGAGACCTTTTGAGCTTGTTACTACTCCACCAAGATTTAAAAAAAAAAAAAACAAAGAAACTTAAACTAGATGAACATCTGAAACAAATAATATGTACCTAAGAGATCCCATTGCAGATCAATGGGAAATGCACCTAAAAAGATCACTCTGAACTAAAATTCAAAAGTAAAACTCGGAAACTTTGAATGTCTGAATCATCCTCAGCTTCATCTCTTTGATCTTATTGTAGAGAAATCAAAGAAAGAATAATACTCAAGCCAATATGCAGAACTGCGAACTTTCACAAAGCAACTTTCTGAACAAGCTGCATTTGTTCCAGCCAATCTCCTAAAATTGCGTGTTCATCATCGATGGAAGAACTAAGAGCTTTTCCATCATCAAAACAGCAGCCTTTGCCAATGTCATTCTTTCCCACCAGAGACTGAACCCACGAAAGATCTGGCTCGATTCCAACTAGCTCCTGCTTCACATTCTCATAATCATGCATTGAATTCTGCTGCTGCTTCACTCTTTCAGAAGGAAGTGAACCAAGGAGGAAACTTGGAGATCCGACCGGAACCCCGAGCGGAGAAATCGCACGAGGGGAAGAAACACAGTGCAAGGAATTCAGAGCTCTTGGAGAAAGAATGCTTTGCTGCTGGATTCTGCTCATAGGTGACAAGTTTGAGGAAAAATAATCAGATTGAAACCTGGGAGAAGCACAATTCGCCGGTGCAAATTCACTGCTGCGGGCACTTCTAACCAGAAGTTGAGGCAACGCCAGTGATCTAGAGTTTGGCAGAGTGCGGAGGTCACTAGTCGAATGGGCAAAGAAACAAACACGGCGGTTGCAGCAGTCGCCGTCCTTGCAGAGCCGGGTGCGGTACTGAGCTGGGTGAAGCCAACACTCAAACACCCCGTGTGCATACTCGCAAACGTCGCCCTTTGGGCACTGACCACGCCGGAACTCAACGCATGGGGTACAGCTATAATTGAACCGTCGTGGGTCTCGTCTCCGCGCGTTCTCGCCAGGGTGGACGAAGGGGCATTCCGTCCAGTCGTGGGAGTAGGCTCGGGAACAAGGTTTGATTTTGAAGGAGAACATTCGGAATTCGTCCGAGGAGTAAATGCTGCTCTTGACGTCAGGAATGGAGGAATCTATTGTGTAACCCTTTTTCTTTTCTTGAGGGGAAGAGGAAGAAGATGTTGAATCCGAAGAGGGAGTGACTGGTGGAGATCCGTTACAGAGAACCGTTTCGAGGGAGGAATGTAGAGAGGAGAAGATGGGTGAAGTTGGGATGAGGTCGATGGGGCGGCGGCCGGCAGCGTCGACGGCGTTGGGGTCGGCTCCGGCAATCAGGAGGAGGGTGACGGTGAGGGAGGCCGCCGGACCTCCGCCTGCAACGGCGCAGTGGAGAGCGGTGACAGCGTCGGGACCGCAGCGGAGGTCGACGTCGACGTCGACGGCGGCGGAGAGTGAGAGAATAAACTGGAGGACGTTGAGGCTGCCAAAGGCGGCCGCGATCATGAGCGGAGTTCGCCGAAGAATAGTCATGCGGGAAGAGAGCAGGCACCGGCCGTACCAGGGCCCGGAGACGTGGAGGGCAGCGGGTTCACGCGAGGCGGCAAGACGGAAGCGAGTGACGTAGTCAGAGGCGGCTAACTCGAGAAGCTCGGAGACTACGTCCACCGCAGTGGAAGCAGCGCTAACGGGGAAGCCCATGGGTTGCGGCGAGTGAACAGGGTAGCGGCGACGGGTTCGGAGTCTAGGGCTCCCTCACTTATAGGCTGCGAGTAAGCCATTAATTAAAAAATATATTAAAATATGATTTTGATAAGTTAAATGAGAAAAAACAGGGAAAAATAAATCGTGCGTGGATAAGGAATTAAAAATCTGCGGCGAATCGGAGCAATATAAAAATGCGATTTTTCGAAGATTGCGCCTTAAAGGACAGGAAACTACCTTAAAAAGCGTAGAGAAATAACAGATCGGAGAAAGAAAGTGTACGATATATAAGCACAGCGGCCGTTGGCGGTCAGTGATCGGCCATAGGAGGTCGGAGACCCGCGGTCGGCGGCGAGACTGGGGAAGCGGGCGTTTTTTGTAACTATTGGGCCGGTGAGAGATTGAAGCAATGAATTGAAGATGAAATACGGTGTAAAAGAAAAAAATCAAAATAAATATTGGATTTCATTTTTACAAAGAAGTTACTAATGATTTCAAAATTTTCACTGAAAAATTCGTCAGTAATGCATGATTTTCATGTAATGTGTTATATGAAGGATACTCATATGCTTAATGATTATCAACTAGTCCTATCCTAAGGGTCCTAAGGATAGTCAATCCCTTTCAATCATCAAAGTACTAGTTGACTTGATAGTTTAATAATACATGCTTAATTAATTTGAAATCTTTTTTGTTACCAATAGGTCTAATTGCACTTGAAAAATTACAAAAAAGACATTATTTCAAGTAATGAATGTGTCTTCTATTATTCAATGATGTCATTTAGGGTGAGGAATGTTGGTGCAATATATTAACAAATTACAAATAATATGAGGTATAAATGTGATAGAGTTTGAGAAACTAAGTTAACAAAGTTAATTGAGGATGATATATAAGAATTAAGTAACACGGTAAGGCTTAAGTTAAATGGTTAAAAGAGCTTGCTAAATAAAGATTCCTTATATAGCCTGCTTGCTCCTTAACTTGGTAAGGTACAACTAATTTGACGTCAAGGGAATGCCATGTAACAATAGTAGGCTGGTTTATTTCATTGCTTGAGTAATTTCTAACTCAACTAATATAAGCTTAATTTGATTCAAATGAATACCAAGAACTGAAGTATCAAAACCTAGATAAGATAAGACCTAGAAAGGGAAACAAATAATTCTCTCAAAATATTTCAAAAACCACTTTTAATATTCAAATACATGAATCCTATATGTACAAGAAGAAATAGTTGACAAAAGCAAAGCTATCGTCCCTAACTGCATGCTACATAAAATCTTGAGATGAAACAAGATATTGAGTGAGATGATGATACATTCAAAAATCTATTAGCCTAAAGCTCTACTGAAAAAGAGAGATTAACCCCTTTTATTTTTTATGACAAAAGCAATAAGAGATTGATTGAGATTTCTTGATAACCACATAAGAAGGATCATCTTCTTCAAAGGGGAATCAATTGAGGAAAATCTAGAAAAAACATCTAAATGAAATCACGAAGGATTACTCTATGAGATATCTTTAATTTTCCTTTATTTAAATTTTGTGAGTGATCACTTTCCATAAACTATTCCTTTTTAGAGGGGCAGATCATCATCTAGATATAAGTTATCTCTATCTATCTCTCTCACGCACATTTATACATTAATAGTTGTTGCGGGCTAGAATATACGCGGCGGTAGAGTTATAATTCTACGTCTTAGCGTTGAACGGATATCCAGCTCACACACAGAGAACACAATATTATTTTACGTGGAAAACCCGGAAAGAGAAAAAACCACGGGGCCTATCCCAGTTGAAGATGATTCCACTAAAATTTGAGGAAAATACAATGGTCTGACTCGTCCTTGAAGACGACCAGATTAAAGATATTAACAGAGAATTTTACAAGAGTCCAACGTCACTCCAATGTCAGGTGGCGATCCGGCAGAACTCCGGTGTCAGGCGGAAGACCGGTATTTAATGCTCTATCATTGACTCTACAAAAAATTATAAATTTAATGATATTGTTATAGTGGTAAATGTTAAGGCAAAAAAGGATATTGATATGAATTGTTAATATTATGAAATGTAAACTACTTATATCAATACTTACCAACAAATAATAGCAGAATCAATCTTTATTTTAATGGTCGGCAAATTTATTACATAGATAACATAATATTTAAAAAATAAAATAAAAAAATATATAATTTAAAATAAAATGTTGGATTTCATTATGATCGATGAATTGAACAATAATTACAAGCTTTTCAAACACTGTCGTTGCCAGGTCCCAAATCCTGGATGAGAAAAGTGGAGGGTTGCGTTAGGTAGTCGACAGCCAGTGTAAAACTTGTCAAATAATAATGACATGAATCCTTTAAGAAAGAAAAAAGATTCATGTAGCCGACCCCACGTGGTGGGATAAAGGCTTAATGTTGTTGTTGTTGTTATTGAGCCGATTATCATCAATTTTATTGGGAATCATTTCACTTTGGTTTAAGAATGGTACAAAAAGATGCAACTCTATACTAACTTCAAATAAATGATTATTCAACTCTTGAAATCACATATTAACTATAATATAAAATAACTCAGCGCGATAATGATGTAAATTTGCTATTTTTTCTCATCATTGTATTGATTGTCGACGTCCTTGAATGTAGGTTCATAGTTGGAACATCAATTTAAAATGTGGCATTAATATAAACTATGTTGAATTAATGATTAACAATTTCAAAGTCTAATTATTCAATATCAAAAAAATAGGTAGAGGAACAAAAAGTATACAACTGGCCATTTTTCTTAAACAAAGGCATACAATTAAAAAAAAAGAAAGAAAAATTGTCCCCTTCGTTTTTACCACACAGCCCACCTTTTGTTCCTATGAAAAAGATTTGTATTCCTCTAAATTTTGTTTAATGAAGGGCATTCACACTAAATTAAATCAAATTCTAAAGGGAACTCTACACTAGTTTTAATTTCATAAAAATACAAACTATCTTTAAGCAAAGGGTTATGCAATACATACATCTTTTGCTACAATTTTTGAACAATCTTAGAAGGGCACATGCCACATTCAATCACTAGTTTAATAGCCCATAGTTCCTTCTTAAACTTTGTAATATTCACAGTTAAAGCTCTAGTTTTCCTAGCAAAGAAAGGGGGAGACACTAAACAGGGTTACCTTTTTTTATTTCCATGAAAGTACTGATCAACCCAATTTGACAAAGTTGATGACAACACAACTTCACTCCTTCAAATGCTTCTCCTCGGAGTCCTTGGTTTAGGGCTCCTTCAAGTTATAGAGCGATGCATGCATCATCAACACAAGACTGTCGATTCCCCTTTAAGTCACTCTAGTCATCGAAGCTTAGAATAGATTGAAACAAAGGGAGATCAAGCACAGGTGAAATATACGTAGTGCCACTATGTGAGCCCTAGCTAACGGGTGGTCAGGAAATAGAAGATAATGAAGGGAGGATTACATAATTGCTTTTCCTTAATAAGAGAAATATCAAATTTTAGAGACAATAATTATCAACCATGAATATTATGTGGTTATACCCTTAACAGTAAAAGATTTAATACATAATGTTAAGTTTTTAAAGACAAAATTATTAAAGGCAACTCAAATAATTCCGACGAAATAATTTCATTATGAGATTCCTCCATTTTTCAGACATGGTCTTATAGGGATGGTCCTAATGTTCCTTCTTAGCAGGATTTCGCCCATTAGGATAAGGAGAGCCAAACACCTGGTTCCTCTGGTTCATAGATAAATTCCTAGATTGGTGTGTGCTAGAGCGAGAGGCTCTCAGGTTATGATTGCTACGCCTATTGACCATTAAAGCAATGCTTGGGATAGTGGGATGAAGTTCTCATAGACGATACTAAATTGTTATGGGATATAATATACATGGTGGAAGAGTGAGAGGATTTTTCATCTTAGCATTGCACGAATATCAATCACACAAATAGAGAAGATAAAACACCATAATTTAATGTGGAAACCCTAGAAAAGGGAAAAACCATAAGGTCTGGCCCAATTCAAACGATTCCACTAATATTTGAATAAATTACCTTGATTCATCCTTTAATTTGAATACGATTAAATTATAATTATATGACAAGTTTGGCGAAAGTTTGACGTCAATTGATGGTCGAGCGAAAGTTCAACGATATATAATCGATGGCCTGGTAGAAGTACAATAATCGTTGGTGGCCGGGCGGAAGTCTAGTGACAATCGGTGGTCGACGGAAGTCCAACGACAGTCGGTGGCCTGCGGAAGTCCAACAGCGGTTGGCAGTTGGGCATAAGTTTAGGGATAGTCGGTGGTCGGGCAGAAGTTCGGTGATGGCTGGTGGAATGACGGTGGTACGGCTGTAGTCGAGGAGTTTGGTGGCAAGAGAGATATTAAATTTCTCTTTATTCTTCCTTTTCTTTCTCCTCTTTCTCCCTTCTTTCTCTTTTTGTGAAGAATTGAGAGTCTATTTATAATTTTTATAGTGACGTGGCTGGAAAATAGTGAGAAGATCAAGGATAGGTTGTTAGCGTTTCAGATTGATAACCGAGATTGATTCCCTTGATCATAGACAATTTATCATGCATTTGAGTGTCTTAATGATTTCAAAATTTGAAGATTTTTAAGCTCGTTGCATTCGTCTCGCCGAGTTGCTCAATTCGACTGTAAGCATGTCACATTTGAAAATCATTTTGTTGTCCAACTTATGCTTTGAAGCTTTCAAATGTGTTTTAGACCCTTGACTTGAACTCATTTGGGCTCGAATTTGATCGAATTTAGTGTCGTAGGGTTCATCTTTTCGAAATGTTTAGTTCGACTATAATTTTGTTGAAATTAGAGTTCTGATAGTCCTGAAATTAATTTTGAAAGTTTTAAACTCAACTTTGTCTCAAAATTTGTGTATGATCAATATACTTTTTTTTATGATGCATCTGAACTCATCTTAATTTATTAGTTGGGAGTTTTATCTGCTAATTATGAATTTTTAGATTCAAAGTTCAGGGTATTTTAATTGCTAAAATCTCTCTCTATGCGTAAATAGTAAATACTTTATTATTTTAAATGTCATTTTTTAAATATTAAATCTAAAAGAAATATTATCACCTTTCTATTTTTAGTTTTTTATATTTAAAACTTATCAACTGCTCCAACAAAGATTTCAGAAAAAAAAAAAAAATTAATTAATTGCGGATAACTTCGTCGGAAAGAAAAATAATACGCGCCTATCAGCGGAAGAGAATTGAAGACGTTGTCGGCTTCCCCAACTTTCCTTTCTCTTATATACACCTCCAGGTGCAAAAAAGCCCTCCAAGGCTCCAATCCTTGCCCTTCTTCTCCCTTCTTCTCCTTTTTTCCGCCTCTGAATTATTTTTCCCTTCGGTCTTCGAAGATGAGCGGTCCTAAGTACGCTTATCCCTACCCTGCTCAAGGTAACATACTCTGCGTCTCTTTAGTTTTTCTCCCATCCCCTTTCTCTCTCTATTGATTTCAAATCAAATCTGCCATTTTTCCTTATAAATTTCGAGTTTTGTTGTTTTTTTAAGGGGATCTGAAGAAATAGCCACTTTTTTTCTTTTTTTACATGCCGCTATGAATGTTAGGGATACAAATTGCCCTGTTTTGTAGTTTATATTTTTTTTGTATATTTTGTTCAATGAAGCTAACAGAAATTTTTTTCTCGTGTTGAATATTTGAGTTTTGTATTTTTTTTAAAATTTTAACTTTTGATAGATCTCTTGTTGCCTTAAAAAATTTCCTTCTTTTGTGCATTAATGTTTCTCAACATATATGTGCTCTGTTTTTTTTATTAACTTTATGAGATCTTTTTGCTGATATATCGTGAGAAAGAACTCTCCTGGTGTTTTAACTTGCAAAGTTTATGAATTCAACGTTGGGTATAATCAAGTCAATGAATTTATATAAGTTTTCATCTGTGGCTGCGTGTTATCAACATTCAACTCAACAAATCTATGGAAAAGATATAAATGAGAAAATAGGGTTTTACTTCTATTGAGATTGATCACTACTTAAACATAAATTTGTATAGATTTATAACCCATGACTACCTAGTAACAACTCATTATTAGCTAGCAACAACCAATAACTAAGTAGCAACAACTCTTTTCTAGCTAGCAATAACTCATTACTAGATAGCAATTTACATCTAATGACCTGCTCATACTTTAGAAAAAAAAATGAAATAATACAATTGTTAAATTTTCCTAGAATCTCTATCATGCCCTGCAAGTTGTTTTTGCTTGAGTAGTCGTTAATTGATCCTTTGATGAAACATGAGCAACTTGAAGTACATTGTTTTGGAATTGGTTACAAATGAATTGAAAGTCAATAGTAGCATGTTTTGGATGAGAGTGGAATACTAGGTTAGAGCATATGTGTGTGATCCCAAAATTATCATAACAAATGATTGGGCTTTGCGGGTTCTGAATTTCAAATTCAATCAAGGTAAATGTGAAATTAGGATCTTAAGGGAGAGTGGGGTAGGGGGTAAAACCTCTATAACATAGATGATTTTAATAGATTTAAGGATAAAAATTTTAAATTAAATATATAATAACCTAGAAGTTTTCTCGATTATAAGATAGTGAGAGCCATCACTAGCCATCCCTGGTTCCATCATCGATCTAGATAGAGCAAACCCTATAGAGCTCGGTGGGAGTGATAGAAGCATATCCGTACTATGCCTTTGTTTATAATAATTAAGCTAGAGTTTTGCTTCTTGGAACAACACGAGGTAAGATTATGACCCAAATATAACAATGTGACGATGTCATCTTTCTAAGTTACCATTGTGTTATAGTGCATGAGGTGATATCGTGAGGTGAGAGATGACTTGTGTAGAGAGGTATGTTTGCAAGAGCAAGCTGTTTACCTCCTTTTTTTAGAGTAGAATGTGATCATTTTGCTTTTAAAATAAATTTCAACTATGGGTTTGAGTGAATAAAGCACCACTATTGAGGTGAATAAAGCCAAATGTATTTAATAAGTGAGCAATAAAGATAATGTAATAGTTGAACCCATCATATGGTATTATAGGAGAAGTTCATATATCAGAAAATCTGAGTTCAATAGTTTTAGTAGAAGGAAGTAAAGAATGATAGATTTTAGCTTTTAGTGTATTGAAAAATATTACAAAGAGATCCATATGATGCTGAGGATGACAAATCTAATTGATAATTGAAGACTATGCCTGAGAATGGGAAAGGCAAGGTGACAAGGTCTTTGATTCCACTTAAACAAAGCGGTCTTGACATTATAGAAAGGAATAATTGGAGAAAACGCATTACTAGATATATGACACTCATATGCACCATCTTTCCTTTCTTCCTTTAAAAGGACTGCCCTCATGTTTATTTCCTTTACAAGAAAAGAAGTGGGTATAAATTCAATTTAAATACTATTGGTTGTGCAAATTTAGAACTTTAAATAAATTTTTTTCATATTTGGTGTCAAAAGAACATTACAAAGAGCGTAGGTAATAATAAGAGTGGTAAATGAGGTTGAATGATAATGGGCAATCACAAGGGCCCTGCCATCACTAATCAAAACATCCTTAGAGCCGCTATAGAAATGTAGATGGAGATTTTGTTCAAGTTGACATTGACATGATGTGAAGCACCACTATCGAGGAGCTATGTAGGAGTTGTGGATACATTGATGGCAACAAAATGGGTTTTAAGCTACTAGAAATTAGACAATCCAAGTGCTTAAGCATGAGGCAGTTTTGCCTGTTGAATTGGAATACATTGAAATGATAGGGCATCACTTTGTAGAGTGCCCTTTTATGTCATATATTTGACAATTACCATGGTATGGATGGGAATGAGGATGATCACCTTAGAATTTTATTGTGCTTCTTTATTAAAGCGGTTGCTGAAGTTGAATAATGGACACCGAGTTCGAGTCTAATTGACAAAAGAAGGTGATGCGCATCAGCTCATTAAAGGCCGAGGCGGGTGACTATAACATGGTTTGTAAAAGATAGAAATGGGAAAATGTTTTGTGTTATTTTTATTGGGACCAATACCTATTTATACAGAACTCTGTAAAGATTTTACAACGCTTGACAACCAGCTCATGACTAGCTAGTACTTTACATCTAACGGCCAGCTCGCAATTTACAAAATATGAAATAAGACAACTGTCAAAATTTCCTAGAATCTCTATTAAGCTGTTGGCATGGATACAAGTGTGATGTAAAAATGTTTATAAAATCTACTTTATTTTGAGCAAGTGATGATAATTTGATTTCTTTTCTAAAGATTAGAACATATAGTTCTAAATCTTGTTTTCATATGCTTGTTTTTCACAGAAGTTGCAGAATTAATGATACCTTACTAAGTAAATATAAGCCTTTATGACAAATTTAGACTAGAAAAATGTTCAGCTTGACGCATAAATGTTGGAAAATTTCGAACAATTATTGAATAGGCTCGAGGCTAACTCTATTTGGTATTATTCATTTAGATCTTGTTTCGAAATTGAACAAGATCTAATTAATAGGATGGACAATGAAGTTTAACGGACATAAAATGAAGCCATATTGAACCAAAATGTTCAGTATGGCTCACTGTATTTCATATTTCTGTTTAGTGTTGAAAGGCCAAAAATTATGATTTGATTCAGATTGGTTCAGTTTAACTTGTTTTTTGTGTCTTTAATTTCATGGAGAATGAAGTTGAACTAGCCCTTTATCGAAGTTCTTATATTGATTGATCTCAGCTCTTTGTAACAGAACAACCTACTTCCTCTAGTTAAATTCTCTCTATAATGTTTTGCAGCATTTCGGTTATATTCTTTCTATATGGTTGCAGGGTATTACCAAGGTCCTCCGGTCATGCCGCCGCCTCACTATTATGCAGCTCCGCCTCCTCGCAGACAAACTGGCTTTCTTGAAGGATGGTAAGATTCTCTCTCTCTTTCTCAATATAAAAATGCAGATAAATTCTTTTTTTATCATAAACGAACTGCATTTATGTTTATTTGGTACAGTCTTGCTGCTCTCTGCTGCTGCTGCCTTATTGATGAGTGTTGCTGTGATCCTTCTATCATCTTTGTCAGCTAAAGGATCTATCATGCCTTTCCTCCTGTGAAGTTTAGCTCTATCTATCTCTTCTGTTAATATTATGGTTTGCTTTATGTTTCCTTTCCTTAGATTTATGGAATTTTAAATTGTTTGTCCTTTAGATTTGAGATGGATTCTAGAGAACATATTTGGAGCTAAGACTAATTTGATCTTTTTATTATATGTAGATTGTAACTTTGAATAATGAAAGGAGTCTCTTTCTCTCTCTCCTATTTGTGAAATGAAAAATGTTTGTTGTTGTTTCTGTAATAATTGAAATTTCATTAGTGCTTTGTAGAGTGCAATTGGTGTGGTTTTATGGTTCTATTGTTTTATGTCATCATTGTATAAATTACTTGCATTAGGTTTAGGTTTTTTTTTTTTTTTTGGGACGACTTTCTTACTGCATCTTGAAGCATTTTGAATATAAAAATTTTAATTTTTATACTTAAAAAATTACTTTAAAAAGCAGTTAAAAAGTTATCCCAAACTGAGCCTTAGATTGGAACTATCAACAATTTAAAGCTTTCTGTAATAAAGCTTTAGACATAACAAGTCAAATTTCTTTACATGTTCGGTACCCATAGCCCATTGATTGAATCTTCACAACAGGTCATAAAATCTATGTACTTCTATAAAATCAAAATTTTATTTTATAATAGCAGTATATAATTTATATGTAATAATTAATATAGTAATTAATAAATATCATGAATTTCTCCTTAAATTGATGTTGGTTCATTAGGAAACATCAATTTTCTAGCAATAAGGTTCAAATAACAATCAAGAATGATGAATTTTTTCATTAAGCAACATCATATCTTTGAGGTGTAGTACGGCATAATCGTCGAGAATACATTTTCTTATTTTAAAGAATGTAATAAAATTTAAGTGACAATCATCTCCCGAATCATGTCTTAATATTTCGAGAGATTATTACGTGCGGAGTCCGGACATAGAGAACCGTTTGGTTTTGTAAGTGTGAACAATAAAAGCGTAGCGGTGAACAGTAAAAATGCAATAGTGAACAATAATTATGTTTTTACTATATTTTTATAGTTCACAGATATAAAATTGAACGGCTCTGTGTGTTCGGATTCCGCATGTAATCTTTCTTGATATAAGATGAGAAATTAAGTATTCAAATAAGCAACAAATTTTTTTATTGATATTGAATATTTCATAATATTTTTTATTAATTGTCAATGAATGTTATCTTATTAATTATAATGTAAATGAGATATATTATAAAAGATAATTCATGCATCACTATGAATTAAATTAAAATAGTTTTGAACATAACTATCATGTGATGAAAAAATAAGGCTCTTGTTTTTTCTTGATTTTGTATATTGAGTTAGTCTTCATTTTAAATGGCTTTTTTAATGCTTTTAAAAGTAATTTTTTAGTGCAAATTTTTTGAGCTAAAGATTTTTACAGTAGAAAGCTGTCCCAAATGAAAGCTTGACAAATAAAAGATACGAACGAAATTTATCTTTCTTATGCAACAAATCAGAATTTATCAAATGAGATAAAGTAATATAATATATGATGATATTAAGAAGGTCATTTAACATAAATTATCTCAATTTATTTAGTCCATAAATGTTAAAGTACAAAAAAGCTCAAATTGAGAGATCAACTTTGATGTAGCTAATAATCTCATATTCTAATTGAAAATGTCAGATAGCATTGCCTTTAGTATAAGCTGTGTAAACATTCTCACATTTCTTTGACTGTTTATGTGGCTTTAGATTGAGAACAACCATATAGTCAATAGATCATATGATCCACATTATCATTCTTATATCATTCTTTTGGCATCAAGGCTTCGTTTGGGACAGCTTTTTTGTTGCTTCTTAAAGCAACTTTTTAGTTAAAAAAAGAAAATTTTTGTACTAAAAAACTACTTTGAGAAGCAATAAAAAAATCGTCTCAAACGAAGCCTAAGTTAACTTTGAAAATGGAAGAGGCATGACCGCATGATCAATATCATCAATGTGTTACCATAATTATTAATTTTTCCATACTAAATAATTTAAATTGAATTTTTTAGAGCGACATATG